TACAGCATACAAAAATACATACACCCTTAATTTTCACCCCTCTACCATCAACCCCTATTTTTTATTACAGTAGATAGTTATTTTTATTGAACTAAAAAAAAGTTTCCTAGAAATAATATACATATGGCAAAACAACGTTTGCCGGGTCAACTAGTATATTATAAATTAATACCACACCCACGCGAAAGATTCAAATATATTTTCAATAATATCTTCTTTTTATGGCAGTCAAACAGCTCAAGAGGTAAAGAGGTATATAACCTCTTTTTTTATACCCCTTCTTAATACAGACAGCCATATTGTATGGAACATAATAAAGCTCAGATTGAGAGCTTCGCAAAGTAGGTCGGGCACGCGTCACAATTGACGTCATCGGTGACGTCAGAGCTCCTCCCCTGCCACGCCTGCCCCGAGATCCTTATGCGGAAACGAAATTGTTTAGTAAACGGTAGCGTAGTTTATTTAGCGAAGAAATTTCGAAAATAAACTAAATTAAGATAACAATAGGTAAGTATATTTTTTTAATTTCTAATAGGCTCTGTTAGTAGAAAACTCAAATCTACGTATTTACAATCTAGCCTATACAATAATTATGGCTAATAAGTAATATTACGTATGTTGACTTAATTTTCTACAATACTAGTGAATAGCTTAAACTAAGGTAATGTTCATTAACAGCCTTAGGGTCTGTTTCACAATGTATGGATAAAGTACCAAATAGCTATGCAACACATAAATTATTTGGAAGATTAATTGTGCTATTTGACATTCATCGGACTTAAGATGGACTTTATGTGACGAATAGCGCTATCTGACAGTCGTGAAACGCAAGAATAGTGTTTATCCTACCAATAAGTAATAAATTTGGAACTTATGTACAACTATCCGTACATTGTGAAACAGACCCTTAGTGTTCTATAATGATAAGACACTATGTTCGTGTGTCCGAGATACCGCACTTGCACTTATATTCACTACACTAGGCTTATTAACTCAAAAGTTGTTAGTAAGAAATATTGAAGAAAAATTGCATGATATACCTATTGGTGAAAAAACTGATTACTTAATGCATTTAAGCTCAGAGAAAACAAAACTGTTATACCCTAGTGTTTAACCAACAAATGTTTCCCAACGTAGGACCCACACCCCACAGGGGGGCAATTTGACTAAGTTTCTTAAGTGAACAATTCATTTTTTTTATTTAAAAGTCATAAATCTGCTCCTTCCTGGACTGTGATGGAACGGGTCAGCTAGTAATCTAATATATAAAATTCTTGTGTCACAATGTTCGTTCCCATACTCCTCCGAAATGGCTAGACCGATTCTTATGACATTTTTTATGCATCAGTAAATAAGTCTGAAAATCGGCTACTTCTATCTATCTTTCAAACTCTTAAGGGATAAGGGGTTTCAAACAATTTTTTTTTTGTTTTCTGGATAATTTTTTTTGTTTTTATTTTTTTATGATACAATATACAAAAATACATAAAACCCTTAATTTTCACCCCTCTACGATCAACCCTATTTTTTATTATAGCAGATAGTTATTTTTATTGAACTAAAACAATGTTTCTTAGAAATAATATACATGGCAAAACAACGTATGCCGGGTCAGCCAGTATTATATATTTTCGAAGTATAGACAGTCATTCATCATTAAGACATCACATAAGTAAATCTATTAGCTAAATTTTAGATCAAAAATCAAAAGCTTTAAATTTACCGGAATTTCAGTTGGAGAAATTTCAAACCCGCTGTCCATAAAGGAATTTCAAATACGCCGACAATTTCATATTTCACAAGCGTAACTCTCAATAAAATTGTATATATTCATGAAATTTACGCAAATATTCTGAAAATTCACTTGTAATTTATATATGTTCCGTAATAATTTATAATGTTACATATTGTGTTTACATATTTTTATGTAACATGAGGCCAGAGGGCTGGCAAGTGCGTTGCCGGCCTTTTAAGAATTGGTTCGCTGTTTTCGTGAAGGAAAAAACTGTGTAATTAGATTGATTTAGTTTACAAATACGGGGCATAGACGTTAGTGATAGGTACCTAGCATGTACATGTAGGCGGGCGATAACGGCCTCTGTTTATTTGTTTCGTTAACAGCAAAATAAGCTACCATTACAGATTACTCCAATGCGGTAACTAACATTTATTCATCGATGTGATGAACATTCGGTGTTGTGCTTAGGTCTTGGGTGTTTAAATGTGTATTTATATGTCTATCTATCTATAGTATGTATGTATATCCGTTGCCTAGTACCCATAACACAAGCTTCACCAGCTTAGCATGGGACTAAGTCAATTGGTGTGAATTGTCTTTAAAAAAAAAATTACATCACATACAAAACAATACATACACATAGTATTGTCTTTGATTAACATAACTTTTATTCATTTAATAAAACACTATTTTGACCGGATTGAAGTTATGTATTATTATAAATTTACAACTATTTAACATAATTTTAAATTTATCCGACGTTTCGCGTGCTTTACAGCGTGTCCACGCACGCTGTAAATTTATAATAAAACATAACTTCAATCCGGTCAAAATAGTGTTTTATTAAATACATACACAGAAAAAAAAACACCCTGAGGCCTAGGCACTGGAGCACTGCCGGATTCAAATTCAAAATCATTTATTCATTTGGGTAACACAATGTACCTACACTTATGAACGTCAATAAAGAAATACATATTTAATGCTTCTAATTTTACATTACTGCCAGTTCTCAAATCAAGGGCGTAGAACGGACGAGAAGAACTGGCAATAAACTCTCCGCCACTCTTTTTAATCGCTAAGTTCAAAATGTTTGTAAGCTGCAACCAGTACACCATGTCCCACATGACATTTTTGAGTAACTCACTATAATAATAATCTAAAGATTTGTCCTCTATCAGCAGTAGGCATGGTGAAATAGGAGCACGCACTTACGTTCACGTGGGAACAATACGCAAATTTGCTTTCCTTTACGTAACAACTTTAAGCGCAAATTCTCGGCGCGTTGTTAGCCCACAGAACATATTATGATTAAGGTTGAATATCTGAGCGGCTGAAATGGGTACACAACGTACATTCTACATACCTGATGAATTTGTTTTGTACCCATTGTATAATATACTAGCTGGCCTGGCGAACATCGTACCGCCTAACAGTCGATTCTTTATTTTTTTTAAATACATATTCTCACTATACTATAATACATATTATCTTATTTTGACGACTCATTGGTCTAGTGGTTAGTACCCCTGACTGCGAATCCATGGGTCCCGGGTTCGATCCCCGGCTGAGACGAACATCGATGTGATGAGCATTTGGTGTTGTGCTTAGGTCTTGGGTGTTTAAATATGTATTTATATGTCTATATATCTATGTATGTATATCCGTTGCCTAGTACCCATAACACAAGCTTCACCAGCTTAGCATGGGACTCGGTCAATTGGTGTGAATTGTCTTAAAAAAAAAAAAAAAAATATTCTGCTATTCGGGACACCGGTCTAGCTAGTAAGATAAAAAAAAGAAAGTTGATAAGACAATAAATACATTATGTCAAAAAATAAAAATTTACCTTCCCGGAACCCCTCCACAAACACTTGAACTTTATGATATGGTATTAAAGTTCAAATTGACGTTTAAGTATTATTACGAATATTTTGTATAGGAATATAGAAAAGTGTTGTTTTTAGACTTTTTCACTCATTTATTTTTAATTTTTCTCGCCGTAAAAACCATCCTTGACCTTCAACAAACATTTAAAAAAATAATTGGCCAAATTGGTCCAGGCGTTGTTGAGTTATGCGCTTACCAACACATTTTGCGATTCATTTTTATATTATTACATTGACACGATTTTAGTAAATTTTTTTTTCAAATAACAGCAATAAGGTAGGTAAAGATATCCTGTCTGGCGGTAGTTTTGATTTGCGTTCCCTTGAAAATCTAATTCTTGAAACCTATCACTCCTCCTTTACTGTGCAATGTACCCTGCTATGGAACTCTTTACCACTTGATATCAGACGAGCTGTCTTTAAATATTTAAAAAAATCTTCTTTTTGATAATTTTACTTCTGCCTCGTTAGCTATATAGTAATTGTGACTCGATTAACCATTGGATTAGCTTTTACATTTTTGTTTATACATATTATTATTTTTTTTAGATTTAGATAGTTGTACATGTTATTTTATGTTAATTATTCATATACTTCTTGTACTTTACCCTCTGTAGGTGTTTCCTTTTTTATTGTTCCATACTAGGGTTGCCTGGAAGAAATCTCTTGTTAACGATAAGGCCGCCCGTTGCCTAATAACTTATGTAACCTGCTTTTCTATATGTATGTTTTTGTATGAGGTAACGAACTAATGATAAATAAGGCATTAATATTGTTTAGAAAACCATTTTTAAGTTACGAACACTTGCAAACTTTGCACTCATATACAAACGCCTATATGACAACACGCTTTTAAAAGCTTCTAACCTACGAGTTGTGATTGATCACCTACCTTGTAATATTGAGAGCAAACACTCAAGTGAATTATCTGTTTGATATCAGGGCACAGGGTCAGAGAGTTTCTCGGTAAAGCTGTGCAAATTTTCTGAGTGCAAGTTCGAAGTAATTCTCTCAATATCCATAGTTGTCGCAATTTTACGCGTACAAAAACTCATTTTCGGTATCTGCATCAATCAGTATTGCCATTGGAAGTAAAGACGCAAAATTCTGATATTTTTTTATAGTGGCGTCTACCACATTGGAACGGATTTCCCACTAACAAGCTAGGAATCTGGTAAAGGCATTTTTTGTTGTAAACAAATACTCGTTTACTGTTGTAAAAAGGAAATAAACGTCTGCTAATTATAGAAGTTGTACCACAAAAAAGACAGTGGCTGTTGTTACATAATTTTAAATTAAAATAATAGGCCCTAAGTACACACTTAGTTTTGATAAATCCTTTACTCGAAGAAAGGTTTATAAGTAAGTGAATAATGAGAAAGGTAAGACTCTTAATATAGTAACTAAACTTTGCATTTGAATAATTCCCAATACGCATTAAACACACACTAAAAAAATATAAAATTGAGGGCGTAAATAATAATTAAAACTGACAACAAAGTAATTAAATTCAAATGCGTCATAACCCAAGCGAAACAAAAAAGTAAGTGATCAAGTGTGACGATCGGCCGTGTAAAAAATTATGAAATAAAATATATTTGTTTTGAACAGAAGAAGAATATCTTCTTAGAAAATAGACTTCTCATAATGAACTTCCATTCATATGCATATTGTATGGTGTATTTCATTAGTACTAAAAGTCTATGATAATGTCACTTTTTTAATAATGATAACCTACTTTAACCATAAATATTTATAAAATATTTTGAAATAATATTAACAAGAGTTGTTCAAATATATAGAAGTACTAGCGGAATTTGAAGCGATTAGTATATTTAAGAAAGTATGAAAGTACCGACTGCAGCTCTATCTGATTTGTGAATCTAAACCATCCAGGGGGTCACCCAAATGCATACAAAAAAAACATTCAAATCGGTCCAGCCGTTTAAGAGGAGTTCAGTGACATACACACGTTCAGCAGAATTATCTATATATAAAGATATGGTTTAAAAAAAAATATCATTCGAAAACATGTTAGCGCTCGGTCGATGTTAAAACGCGCAAAGTTTTTCATTAACGCCTTCACAAAGACTTTGTAACTTAAATGAAAAGTTTCTCGGTTGAAAGCTTCTCTGTAATCTTTGCCTTTAATGAATTTTATATTAATTTTCAAAGCAATGAATCCATTGACTATGTTATATAATGTATATATATATATATACTTACCTCTGACCATAATAACCTAGCGTAGAATTAACTGTTGCACGCGCAGATCGCCGCCGTACCGCGTCACGAAGCCATCTTTCGATGCATCGGCAGAGCCTGCGCAGGAGTTGTTGGAGCCCACGCCATCCTTCAAGGATAAGAAACCGCTGCTCAAGGGGCCTAGGGCGCAGATTGGGTCTAGTGTTTCTGGTACGTATTTATATACCCTTTCATTCACAATGTTACGACTGATTAAGTATTTACAAAGAAAGGTATAGAGATGTATGGGACGGAGAGAATTCTATTTCTATTTAAATTTTCATAGATTAGGATCGTCTTTCTCAAACCGAAGTAATTATTATTTCCATCCCTTACCCGTCGGGGCTGAATAACTTATGTGCGAGACCTGAACCGCGAAGTTTGAAGAGTCTAAACCACTATGTTAGGTATAATGTTTGCACACTCGTAGACATATTAAATATTATATGGTATCCAAAGCTATTAATATAATATAAAATTATCTGTTCTTCGTAATTTAATTCAGAAAAAATATCAATATTGTCCCACATTTTTTGGCCATATATGTTGACAATTATATGTTAAATCTTCAGATTCGATCTCCCTGTCATCACCCCAAGCATGCGCCTCGCCCAAGGAGGAGGTGGTCGGTCCACCTGTGCCTGCGAATGTGGCCGCGCTGACTGAGGAATACCGTTCCTACCTCCTGGGTAAAAGTACTGGACAGAGGACCAGGAAACGCCGTGCTATGCTCATATACGTTTGCGCTGCAGACTCGCAGGGTACGTTGAAGTAGTTTACTGTAAAAAATTTACATGGAGATAATAGAACAAACTTAGAAAACTATTATGTATTGAAGACCTGGGTGTAAGATAGTGTAGATGAGTGATGTCTTTTGTAAATGCAAATTATACTGGAACCTTACATTTAAGGTTACATTTGAACATTATAAACAAACTATCTCTGTTTTTTAGTTCAATAATAATAACTATCTACAATAATTAAAAATAGGGGTTGATCGTAGAGGGGTGAAAATTAGGAGCTGTATGTATTTGTGTATGTTGTATCATAAAACAAGAAAAACAAAAAGAAATTCTAAAAAATAAAAACATTTTTTTTGGGGACACCTTAGGGGTTTGAATGATAGATAGTATCCGATTCTTAGACTTACTGAATATACATAAAAAAATTCATAAGAATCGGTCGAGCCTTTTCGGAGGTGTATGGGAACGAACATTGAAACACGAGAATTTTATATATTAGATTATGATTTATGATTTATTTTCTGTGTAATTTATGTCTAATCATGGTAAATACTTCCGCGTTCTAGGCCTAAAAACGACCTCCGTGCGTCTACAGACGAATCAAATCAAAACTTTATTCACAAGGGTTACTATGTACACTTATGAACGTATTTATAAAAAAAAATGTCTAAGTTTACATTTACCGGTTCCTAAATCAAAGGCGTAGAGCGAGCGACAAGAACTGGCAAGAAACTCTCCACCACGCTTTCAATCGCCAAGTTTTAATTTACAAGGAACTGCAATTATTGATACCATCCTTATCATTGACCATGGTGCTTCACTTAACATATTGTAATAGTGTATTTACGGATAACTAAAATTTTAGTTTATATTATAAAATATCGTTACAGACTGTTGCGCAGAGAAAGGTGCGCTACACTGCGGCGTAGCGGCGCGACTACGAGTGCGCGCACGCAAACGCGGTTGGCGCGTGCACGTAGCGGACTTGCACTGGCGCTCACCTCTCGAACAACAGCGGGATCATCGATTCCCTGTACTTTGCATAGCTGAACTTGCACGTATGTTTATTTATTTATTTCCGGCAACGCAATCGCGAGCCCTCTGGCATTGAGTGTCACTTAACATCAGGTGAGCCCGTTTGTCTCCTGTTTTAATTTAAAAAAAAAATAATTACCAACGCTTGACACACTGATATATTGGTATAAAGGAAATTAAAATACAAGATTTAATGTGACAAGCACTTATAGGCGAACCACAAACACGAAGAGATGAAAATATTACATCGATTTATAAATTATAAAAAAATAATTGATTTCAAACTGTGAAGGGAGCAACTATGGATATCCAGACCTAGCTCGTTTAATGTTTCCTATTAAAACATTAACATTAATTTAAATACTGATAACTATAGTTGACAATAAAGAATCAACAAAATAAAGACTACAGCTTTCAAAAAATAACTTAAGTAATTAAGTATTAATTACAATAAAAATAAATGAACTAAAGTGGAAATGGGCGGGGCACATGGCTAGAGAAACAGAAAAGTGGAGCAAAATTTACTAAACTGGTGCCCAAGGTACGTCAAACAAGGGAGACAACTTAGAAGGTGGATAGACCATTAAAGAAACAGCAGGTACATGGCAGAGGAATGGTGGGATTTGGAGGAGGCCTTTGCCAAAAATGGGCACACAGATACCTAAAAGAAGATTGAAATAGAAACGTGTTTAAATGTAAAAGTGTCTGAATTAAAATGCTATTTATTAATGTTGACATTATCGAAAATAAAATATCATGTTCTTTACATAAGCTGTCGATGTAGATGCGATTACTCAGAGTATTGAAGCACATTTTTTGACTTGGCTTTTAGTAAATTTACTCTGAATATTCCTTTGTATATATATATACTGTAGTACCAAATTTCAACTTTCTAGGTCATCTGGAAGTGGGTTAGGTTTTGTCAATCATAAAATGGCGATTTTTGCATATCTCAGTTAGAGCTGTATCTCAAAAAAGTCATCAAAATTACTAAATGATTATTCTCCTACACAAAAATTTATGCATATAATAATTGTATTTACCTTTCATAGCAAGATTTTTTGTTATTTATTAAGAATTATAAATTGTATGTAAGCTGTACCTAAATATATAACTGTAAATTAATTCTATATTTCATGTTGACAATCAAGTATACATTATTTACAATGTTCTTAACCTACAAAGTAATAATAAAAATTATTAAAAAGAAAATTAAAACAAATTTAAAAAGTTTCGTCCCTGTGGCAGTGTAATTTTAACGCTGGCAGCATTGCCTCGCTGTATTGCGATACTTATTCGTTGAGCCAGGAAAGTAACAGCTCTGGGGTCACCATCTTCTAGGCGTCTACTTAAATCTTTAATAAGCGCCTGTGCACTTGAACCCCACGGCCCAAGAGCCTCTACTACAAAGGGAACAAACCGGAGGAAAGACTCTTATATTAATTAATTTCCATTGTTAAATAGGTCAATCAGAACTGGGTGCGGTCGTACCTGTATTATTCCTTAACTCGAACTTGGGCACTCCACTACTACCTCATACATTAGAATGCGCTGACTTCAAGGCAGCTTTAGAAACGGCTGATGACGAAAATGATAGGAGTTTGCTCAATAAATGGTAAGTGTTTAGTTACTTTGATATTAGCAAACCTTTTTTTTTAATGCGATATATTGTCTGCTAAGATTTTGTGTTCCTCTCTCTTTTCATCACAGCGTTAATACAATTTGACAAAAGGGGACGAAAGAGAACTTTTGAAAATAGTGCAATTAGACGATTTATTAACTAGTTTTTTGCCATATTAGTGACAGTAAACAGACTTGCTTTTATTTCGATCTATTCGTATAGAATTAATTGTAGGTAAATATTCAGAGCATGATAAAATTTTCAACGCTCCAAGTTACAGCAGCCCTGATCCATGTACATTTTTGGTTTATTTGCGTTTTTCGCTTTTGTATTTGTTCACCCTGTTGTTTCACGGCTGTACATTAAGTTACTACCTACTTGCCTATTAATGAAATATCACGAACACAGAAATTTGAGGCCAAGATCTGGGGACTGCCACAGATTCTTTTTTACTAAATTATTGACGCTTTCTACACACTCAGGTACACCTTGGATAGTAGCACGACACCGCCATGTTATCGCTTAGTCCGAGGCGCGCCAGCTCGTTGGAGACGAGAAATGGCACGAGCCCTAAGCGTTTTAGTTAGGACTCTGCCCCAAGAGGCCTGCGACGCTTATCTTACTACTGTTTTGGAACAGGTAATATCATATACATTTTTAAGTATTTCAATAAATAAAAAATATATCTTTAGTTTTATTTATTTACATTTCGTTACATTTATACAAAAACATAATACATAAAAATTATAAAGGATGCAATGGGCGGTCTTATCGCTAACAAGCGATCTCTTCCAGGCAACCCTAGGAAGGGAAAAACTAAAAAAAAAATATGATGGGTGGCAAAAAGTGTATAACCAAATCTTATTAAAGAAATTATAGAACCTTAATCTAAAATAATACAAAAAAATATTAAGAGATGCATCAATGTTCGTTTCCATACTCCTCCGAAACGGCTCGACTGATTCTTATGAAATTTTTTATGCATGTTCAGTAAGTCTCAGAATCGGCGGAATCAGTATCTTTCAAACCCCTAAGTGATGTGGTGTCCACCCCAAAAAAAAATTATATTTTGGATAATTTTATATTTATTTTATTATGATACAGCATACAAAAATACATACAACCCCTAATTTTCACTCTCACCCTCTACGATTACCCCTTATTTTTTATTATAGTAGATAGTAATTTTTTTGAACTAAAAAAATGTTTCCTAGAAATAATATACATGGCAAAACAACGTTTGCCGGGTCAGCTAGTGTTTATATATAATATAATAAACAATGTTAAAGGAGGTACAACACACAGTGCTAATGAGCTCTGAGACAGCCAGGCGTTGTGTGTGGGTGTGTCGAGCGGGAGCAGCGCCAGATGCCCCCGACGGCCCTGATGACCATCACCGGGAGCTACAGAGGAGGCTGGCTAACCTGCAGAGGGATTTGAAGGTAAGCGCTTTGAGTAACGTAAAAGATTTTTTTACAACAATAATTTTATTGTGTTATCTATACTAATATTATAAAGAGGAAATATTTGTAACGAAATGGCTATAAAGTATTGGAAAAAAATTAAAATTATTTCACCATTTGCATGCTACATTATCACTGAAACTAATACAGGTTATTTTAATTGAAATAAAAAAATTAGGATCCCTACTAAAACTACACTAATGTAACCCAATGTGTAAAAAAATGCCTATAACATATCTTTCATCGCATGCGCTGCGAAAATTATTGATGATAGAAAAAATTTTTCACAATATTAAAGAACTTTCTACAAAAAATGTTACAAAAATGTCCACCGGTGCGAAGCAGGGACGGACCGCTAGTATTTTAACATACCAAAAGCGAAGAACTGGCAATGAAATAGGAGCACGCACTTACATTCTCGTGGGAACAACACGCAAACACATAGTCAAAATAACTAATATCACCGCATACACGAATTCAAGTACGACCAGTCACCACAAGTAGCACCCGTTCACGAGTATGACGCATGGACGCCGCCACAAGCAATAACATTTAAATTGCATTAGCGATTACCAGTACGAGGCCTATGCGCTAGCGCTAGATAGCTAGCTATATTTATTTAAATATTCCAGCTGTACCTAAGCGAGCGCAATGTCATCCGGGCGAGCGTTCGCGGTCGTCCTCATACTAATTCCGACGAGGAATACACAGCGGGTGTCCGCTCGGCGCTTGGCGAACGTCTGGACGCACTGCTGGATGGGTTAATGGCGGATAGCGATGGACCGGCTGGGTATTGCGGGATACCAGCTAGGTGAGATTTCATTTTAATCTTTTTAATATAAAAGTCTTTATTAGTGGCCCACGTCTTGTACAAATTTCATGAATAAAATTTTGCGAATTTAAAATAAAGCCAAAAAGATAACTCAGTACCTATGTAGTTACTAATTCTAGAATTTCCTATATATGTATGTTGAGTTATAGTGAGTTCATTAGTATACTGGCAACATGTCCCGCATGGTTTTTTTTTTAAATTTATCTACATGTAAATCTTACGAATATTAGTTGAAAAATATTAATGTATTTTACGCTACGGACATCATTTTGATATTTCGTAAGCTAATACATAGAATACAATATACTAAATTAAACCAAATTTCTTCTCCTTATTCCAGTTTGTTCGAAGAAATATCTGAGCATCTGTCGTTCTGTCAAAAAGCAACGCAGTGTACGTCCAACAGAGAAATCACGCTCAACGAATTAAAAACGTAAGTATTTTTAGTCCTCCGAGCCGGAATGAGTTTTAATTTTAAAAAGTTTTTATAATAGAATAAAAATAAATCAGTAGCCCTACAACCTTTTTCGGTTTGGGCCTCGGATTTCTTTATCTGTTTCATGATTATTTGTCTAACATAAGTGTACACACGCCGTCGACTTTTTGGGTCTAAGGCAAGCCGGTTTCCTCACGATGTTTTCCGTCACCGTTCGAGCGAATGTTAAATGCGCACATAGACAGAACGTCCATTGGTGCACAGCCGGAGATCGAACCTACGACCTCAGGTATGAGAGTCGCACGTTGTAGCCACTAGGGCAACGCTACCGTCATAATACATACATATGTTTGGTAAAAATGATCTACAATTATTGCTTTCAGTAATACTTGTAGTTTTTTCTCTCTAGTTTCTATTACATTGATGAATATTATTATTCATTTTATAGGTACGTCCAAAGCGACAGTTCGATCCCATTAGTGGTGTTGGGTGGGGCTGGTTGTGGGAAGGCCACCCTACTTGCCCGTGCGGCTTCGCTTGCTCATACTTGGCTGGACGATCTTGCCCTTGTTGTGAGGTAAATAACAGCAATCGTAAAAAAGTTGTAATTGGGTATGAAGAATCATTCATCAGCATCATTATTATTATTGTATTTCCATGTGCCCAGTAGTATTATAGATATAACATAATAACATCATCGAAGGGAGTACTCATATTTGGTCGTAAAAACCGATAGTGTAACAGCCGATGACGTTGTTAATTACCTAATATGTACTTATTGAATGTGTGATTAATATACTCATGTATAAAATTAAACTACATTTGATTTATTTCACATGAAATTATAGTAAAAAAGGCTTTACGTACATACATATAATTACACTTTTCTACATTAACAAAATCTGCAATTTTTGACGTTATACTTCTTTAGGCGCGTTATGAAAAATTTATGAGAGTGAAATTTCACGATGCGCGCGCACCGTGACACTAAATTTTCAGTATGGGCGCCGAGCGTGTGCGAGCGAGATGGGAATAAGACAATCTACAAGTAAAAAGAAATAGAATATGCGTGACGTTAGCAGCTATGCCAAGAATTTTGAATGACCATAATGACATTTGTAGTACCTTTTAAACAAGTAAAGGAGTTTTAATAATTTTTTCAAAGAAATTTAGCAATGCTTTTTCACAAAGACCTATTGTTACTTAGTTAAAAGGTTATGAAACCTACCTAGTTATTAAATTGAATTAATAATATAATAAATAATAATTATTATTAATATTAATTAATAATTGAAAAATATACTAAATATTAAATATTGTTAAATTATTATCGCTAAATATTTATTATTAATTATTTAATATTTAAAAAAAATAAAGAAAGCCAAAGAAGTATAACTTCTTACGCGCGTACATAAGTACACGCACCATTTTTTTTTATAAGGCGGTCTTATAGAATTCAACCGGTACCTTTGATTTTGGTCAATATAACCCGTATGTTATTCTAAACGATGTCGTCGTAAACGGTTTTGTCTGTATATTATAGAGTATCTGTGGATTTTTTAGACTACCTCAGGTATCGATGGTAACTTCATCATTAATATGTTACTAATTAATAATAGTTAAAAATAAATAAAGCCTTTTATTTCCAGTATTTAAAGTTTACACTTCTTACAATTTATTTTAGCGTTAGTTCATGTATTTTAATCTATGTTAGTATAATTTCTCTTTCCTTTACTTAATTGTATGTGTTTACATAATTATACGTGTATACGTTTCCTTTTTTATACTATAACATATATATATATCTTAATATATATATTTCTTCTGTGCGTGTGTATGTGACTGAACTCCTCTCAAACGACTGGACCGATTTTGATGAAATTTTTTGTGTGTGTTCAAGGGGATCTGGGAATGGTTTAGATTCACAAATCAGCCCGGCAGATGGCACTGCAGTCGCTACTTTCATACTTTGCTTAATATCCTAATCGCTTTAAATATCATGCAGGACAACGTCTGTGGGGTCCACTAGTATATATATATATATATATATATATATATATAGTTTTTGTTTTTTTTTTTTTTGTTAATAATTTATATTTAATAATTTATATTTAATAATTTATATACTAAAATGTCTAACATCTAACATGAGTTTTGTGATTGAAATTGCGACTCAAAACATTTATGGAAATTAATTATTAATCGAATTCTTGTGGTTAATATCTAGCTAATTCAAAATACACCGTAAAAACGTGGTACTCCATCTAGCTGACCACTGATGTTACTCAGGAAATATCACCGAGGAAGAGATAAATAATTCGGTTGGTTGATAAATAAATCAATATATTTTCAGATATGTTGGACTAACATCTCAGTCGAGCAGTTCCCATCAATTGTTGAAATCCATTGTGGATCAGTTACACGTACTACACACGGGTACTGTCTATCGAGGGAAAAATGTAAGTTATTAAGTTATTATTATATTAAAACATATAAACATTTGGAAAGTTTATTACCTATACATAACAATCAAATTATATATTAATAATAAAAATAATTATAAATTAATTAAAACAAATTTTAAAAGTTTGGTCCCTGTGTCACTGTACCTTTAACGCTGGCAGAATTTCACTGTATTGGAGAAAAGCACCAGCTCTGGAGTCACCAGTACTAGCTACCAGGCACTAACTTAAATCTTTAATTTGCGCCTGTGCACTTGAACCCCACGGCCCAAGAGTCTTCACTCCAAAAGGAACAGGAGGAAAGACTCTTATATTTAAGCCGTTTATTATTTTCTGCTCTGCGGCCGCCCCATTTTTCGCTTGTCTGAGGGAAGTGAGACGGGGGTAACGTGTACATACAAGTAGCGGATCCCCATCCGGCCGCTTGCCTTCGTCTCTAACGATGAAACATAAGGGTGCGTCCACATCTGGAGAATGTGCAAACGGCTCGCGAGCTGCGCGCGTGAAGTAGCGTGCAATGGTTTGGTGCGCCTCTTTAGCGCAACTCATGCAAGGCTCGTATAAGGCGCGCGAACGGCGCACACTCAATTCTCGCGCTTACAGTTCCGTTTACTGGCGTGCAGCTCGCATACTGCTCGCGAGCTGCACGATAGCGGCATATTCGCCAGATGTGGACGCACTTTTATATATAAGTTAATCTACATATTATATATTTCGTCCAAACTCAAAGAGTGAAGAAAATGTCTGTCCCATGCCACAAAGGAAACAAAGCTAATTTTTACTCCAGGAGGCAACGTCACTGTCTTCCACATTAGCGAGACTTCTATCAGCAGTTGGGCGTTGTCGGCCAGTGCTCGTCTGCGTGGGAGGAGCTGACGCTTTGAGGGGAGCCCGATGGCTGCCTTCAAGGCTACCTGACAATGTCAAGATGATTGTGACAGTTACTGAGGGTATGTCATGTCAAAATTTTATTGTCGAACTGTATTTTTGGCATTTGAAGATTTATTCCGGCTCGTAGGACCCGTATTTTTAAATTAAAGTTATGATCTATCTCAAGTGGAAATCTCTTCTAAGAACTGTCAAGTAAGACATCATACAGAAAAAAGTTTGACAGCTTTAGAAACTAGATTAGTTGGGATTGTTTAGTTTGAATTTTAACATAGAATGGAATACTATTCTAATTAAAAAAATATATAAGTGAAAATCTTATAATTTTTTTTAATATTCTTGCAAAAAATTTATTTTCCAGAGAAAGACGAACCGTCAAGTTCAGCAATAATGGCGGTCCTTTCATCTGAAGATGGCCCGAAGGTGGTGAGGGCACCACCCGTGGGTGCCGAAGAGGCGAAAGCTGTGCTCATAGCGTGTGCTGCCACCTATAGTAAAACGGGAGCTGCTTCTCCTCCTGAAGCTGTTGTTAAAGCTGTTCAGAAGTGTACTCTTCCTTTATATTCTAAGGTAATTTCTTAAACTTTGATTTAATTTGAATTGACTAAAAAAATTTAGTGTTCTATCCAAATTTTAAATTAATATATATTTATTTATTTCCAACAGACAAACATATAGTATTTACAATATTCTTAAAAAAAATTATAAACAGAAAATAAAACAAATTTTAAAAGTTTGGTCCCTGTGACAGTGTATCTTTAACGCTGGCAGGATTTCCTCGCGGTATTGCGAAACTTATTCGTTGAGCGAAAGCACCATCTCTGAGTTCACCTGTACCAACCAGGCGCCAACGTAAATCTTTACATATCGTCTGTGCACTTGAACCCCACGGCCCAAGAGTCTCTACTCCAAAGGGAATAAAAGTTGGAGAAAAGATTCACATTTGAGCCGATTATTTTTTTCCGTCTGCATATTTTAAATTGATTCTCTCAACTTTTATTTAGTAGTAAAGTTTGGACAAAGCATTACTTAGGAATGGTACACAAGATTTTTTTATCGTATTGAATCTGTCACTATTAATTTGTATAGAAATACATTTAATTCTTAAAATCAATATAAAATTTATCCAATTTAGAAATTGTATTAGATTTTTTTTTTTTAATTCTGACTTTTATCTGATCAGTGTTAGATTTTAATTCTTACCTCTGACAAACGCATGCTAGATAAACAGTTTTATATAGAATTTTTTTTCAAACCATTCCAGATTCTAGCCTGGCAAATATCTCTATCAGCGGAGACCTTCACCGAACAAAGTGAGCCGGAAACTGCTCCAGAATTAGTGATTTGTGAGGAACTGGAATCTCAATTGGAACAAATCCTGATAACCACTGAAGCCGCACTCGGAGCTGAACGGGTCAAGGCGTGTCTGTCCCTTCTTACGGCGTCTAGAAGAGGTCTGGATGATACCGAAATCTTGGATATGCTGGCTCATGATGAACTTTTTAGGAGCGAGGAGACTTATTGTAAGTAATTTGTCTTGTTAAGTGCTTCCAGCGACTGAGAACACGCTGCTTAAAGGTGTGTGGCCAAGTGGCTTCGGCGTGCGACTCTCATCCATGAGGTCGAAGGTTCGATCCCCGGCTGTGCACCAATCTACTTTCTTTCTATGTGCGCATTTAACATTCGCTCGAACGATGAAGGAAAACATCGTGAGGAAACCGACATGTCTTAGACCCAAAAAGTCAACGGCGTGTGTCAGGCACTGGACGCTGATCACCTACTTGTCTATTAAATTTAAAAAGCTTGTAGCGCCATTGATTTATTTATTTTTATTTTAAACGACGCTTTGAGAACACGCGACGCTGATCCATTTTATGACAGTCTCCATGTCAGGCGTAAGATGCTGCAGATGATCCGTCACCAAAAACAATCGCATAGAAGAAATATATTAAATTTTTAAGTCGCCTATTTGATTTAATATTTGTATTTCTTAATCTAGTTTATTGTCATTTATTTTTATGTGTTGTGCATGTATTGTGTTTTTTGTGTGTCGTGTGTTTTCTGTGTATGTCTGTATGTTTCGTTAGTGAGCCTCTTTAAAATAAATAACTCTCTTGGCTCCAGGTATCTGTTTCGGACCATTTTTCCTTAATAGTCAAGAAGGTGATCAGACGTGCATGAAGTTCGAGCCAGTACACGTAAACACGTAAAACACTACACGTACCTCACGTACACGTCAAAAAATCTGAACCGAAATGATTCGAAACATTTTGACCTATAGAATTTTGAATGAATACGGTCAATTTCAGTACCTTGGGCCCCGGCAGCCCTTCTCTGGCCCCAACTGACAGCCCTGTTGGCCCCTTGGCTCCGTTGGGACGGACGTGGGGCCGCTCGTTGGAGAGACGCCGCTTTAGCTGCCGCTGCCACGGATCGATATTTGACAGACTGCAACACTGCGAGACTCATTCTTGTGGAATACTTTGAGGTGTGTAGTGGAAGTTATTTGGAGATTATAAAATTTATTTGATTAAAAAAAATATATTTTGAAGTTAAAACTTCTTTGGCGGCGTTGTACACTTTTTTGGAATGGGTAAAAAATGTTAAACATGCGTCAGGACACGTGACCTGATCGAAAATTCGTAAGACGGATGGAGAGTAGACAGCTGGCGCGGTGTATTTAATGTAATATAACTTGTCATGTTTGTGTACGATAGCGCAATAAATTAATATTGTATTCTAACACATAAATACTTTTATACTGATAATTAAAGCAATTCGTGCAAAATTATTCCCTAACCATTCCAAAATATCAAAAACGCACAACGTTAATATTCTAGTTTTCACTTCTGCAGGCACTGCCGGAGTGCAACCCGTCGTTTTTTTAACACAAATTGTGTTTTAAAAAGTATTTTGTATTTGTGTATAACTAATAAGTATGTGTTTATCTAATAAGATATAATGTAAAATTTTGTAAATTATGTATATGTTTTTAAAATAAACCTTAAAGAATACAATAATGAATAACAGCTTACAATATATTTATCCAAAGACAATTTTAAAATTGATTTTAGTATATTTTTAATTTGTCATTAAATTTAATATATGTATACTTGTATGTAATAGTTAATATTTAGTAAACCAGCAGATGCTACTAAAATGATGTGTGTGACTTTAGGTTTACAAATGTTGTTTAGTTTATAATAACTGTATGTATTTAATCAATCCCCTTTTCTGTTTCTGTACCAAAAATTTAAAAAGTAAATATAAATAAGTTAATTCTTAGTATTGCAACACAGCCAGTATGTTCTGCTAGTAGTAGTGCATACAGTCTAAAATATATTTTTTTTTAATCTTTCAGGGCGCTTGGCATAATGATGACGATCCAAAAATGGCTGGTCGACTCATCTCCCAGGAAAATAAATTCTCGGAAGAACAGTAAGTTTCTTCTAACGTTAGTAACTTTTAAAATAAAAGTTAATGTGCTAACTTCTGACTTTTTAAGTGATCTGTTATATAATAATTATGAAAATTTAATTTAAATACATACAACAAACATATTAAAAAACAATTTAATATGTATGTAACATCAGCAATGTTTAAAAAATATATCTCTTTTCTTTATAGAGAAAATACAATTTGTCAGAAAAAGGTGAAAAATGTTAAAATAGTGATTTTTTTTATACATGTGGGAAAAAGTAGCAAAATTTAAAAAAAGTGTTAGTGAAGGTAGTCTGTATACACTGCACTGTTTTGTCTCTTTCTGTCAATTTATATTAACGCTTCAATGAAATGAGAAAGATTGTATTTTGTTGAACCAATTTGGACTGATTTTACGAATGTAAGAAAATCAGTTCACAGAAAACGATCTATTCCTTACAGATACAACACAAGAAAACTCGACGAACTCCCATTCCAACACTATCATTTATTACGGGAAGACCCCGAAACCTTCGCGAACAAGCCATACTTCTCCAAACTGGACTGGGTTCACGCGAAACTAGCCGCCACCGACTGCGGCCATTTCCTCGAAGACATTGGCCTCGTGCACGTCGACCCGCTTCCAGAACACCTAGACATTCTCAAAGAAGTGTTTGAGACGCACTCGTACGCTTTGGATTACGATCATAGACAATTCTACGGTCTCCTAAGAACGACCATAGAGAGGAGACAACGCGAAGGCTTGGAGATTCAAACCGATATCGTTCAGGAGTGGATGAGGGATGTTTTTGATCCTCCAGTTCCGACGTTTTACCCGATTAATGAGGATTTCTGGAAACTTATGGAGAGCCGGGAGAAGCAAGCTTCTATGGAGGGCTTTGATACGAAGCCGTTCGATTTGATCGTTAGATTTGATACGAGGGGCAAGTTTATCGCCACCGTTTCTACTGAGAGGGAGGAGATTTGTGTGTGGGATGTTTCGAGGTATGTTCAGAAATACCTAAAATATACGAACTTTTAAAAAGTACTTTATTTTGTCTTTATCCGTATTTATAAAAGGACATTTTCAATTATCTAAACTAGCTTAGTGAACAAAACTGATTAAATTATGTTAGATTTTTGATGACATAAAAATTCTGAAAAAATATATTTAAAAAAAAGTAATTTTAACGATGTCAAGTTGAATTCAGATATTATGACGATAACAACTTTTTGAATCGTTATTTCTCAGAAACAGAGGCTCGTAGGAGAAAATTTACTAACACAACTTTTAAGATAATTTTATTATCTACGTTTGGGTGAAAATAGCGTAAATCTTTTTGACCTTTGACCGCGACTAAAAAATTCCATACAAACGGAATGGAATGGGAATGACGGGAAACTTAAATTTTTATTTATAATTGTTTTGAAGAACTTTACTGATATTTGGGTTGTTGTGATTTATACACCTTCACTCTCATTTTGTGTTTAGATTGTGGTAAGGTCGAGTGTTATCTGCGGGGATTTAGAAAAAACGTTTTACTTCACAATTCATAAACTTTTATTTTTGTTTAAATTGCAAATAGAATCACCATAGCCGCCCACAGGACTATGAAGTCCTTTCAAAATAAGTAAAATTAACAAAACTTATAGGTGCATGCTTAAACTTCATGTTTGATTTGCTCTACAACAATTATAAGTATCGGAAGGTCGTCAGAAGAATTTATACAGAAGAATAGTACAATAATAAATTTTAACAACTATAGCACTAATCTATTTCGATGGGCAATGGACATTTTGGTTAATCGTTTGTATATGATCACCACTCTTTACACTATAGACTCTGGTAAGACCGTAGGCCAGGAGCTTATCGCTTATTCGTCCCATATGCCACTTTCCTGGTGGCAAATTGTCCTGTTTTATGAGGACAATATCTCCTATTTTGAATTCGTCTTCTTTAACCATTTCGTCTTTGTTGCAGCCGCTCAAGTATTCTTTTGCCATCTTGACAGAAGTCGTTTAGCAGTTTTTGGTGTATTGCCAAGTGTTAGGTTTTTATTTTAGTCTTTCAAGTTAATGGACTTACAGGAGCTTAGTTATTAAAAATGACCCGGAGTTAATGGTTCCAACGTGCTGTCTTCCTGCGGGCAAAGCGGTCTTGAGTTCAAGCACGCCTCAATTCCACAAAGAACCGTCGTAAGCTCTTCATAGGTAAGGTTAGTATTAAGGATTCTTCGTAGGTGGTGTAATAGACTTCACACCCGTCTCCCATAAATTTCCAAAATTTGGGGAGTAGGCCGGATGAAGTGCCATGTTTCCATCATTAGCAAGTAATTCACTAATTTCTCCATCAAACTGTAGGCGAGCTTCCTTCCAGGCTTCAACCAGATCTTTGTTAGCACCAATAAAGTTTCTTCCCTGATCACTCCACATATTTGTACATCTGCCTCTTCGTGCGCAAAATCGTTTAAAGGCACCAATGAATGCAGCTGAAGTCAGATCACCAACCAACTCCAAGTGGATCGCCTTCGTGGACATACATACAAAAATGGCTATGTATGCCTTGCCAGTTTGGGAGCCTCTGCCCCTTTTTATTAAAATTTGAATTGGTCCCGCAAAGTCGACACCGGAGTTAAGGAAGGGCCGAGCTGGTTTTACCCGAAAACTCGGTAAGTCTCCCATCAATGTTTTTTACCCTCGCCCCATGTCTAGCACATATCAGATCGATGGAACACTGCTTTACTAGGACTTCGCGCGGAGTATCCAGTATTTCGTCGCAGGTAAGTGAGCATCAATTGCAGTCCTCCATGCAGCGTCTTCAAATGTGCTTCTGCAACCACTAAAGGTAAGTCTATTGCATGACCCAAATGATTGGCTTCACTTCATTAGCCAGTTCAGAGTTCCTGAGCCGACCGCCCACCTTCAGGATACCATCTTCGTCAAGGTAAGGATCTAGTGTTTTATTTGTTTTCTTAACTCTTTTTTTGTTTTTAATGATTCTATATCTTCTGTAAATTCTTCTTCTTGTGCTCTTTTTTACAGGTTTGCATCGAGCGTGTTCTTCAGTTGTGATTTTGTATCTATTCCGTCTTTTAACTTTTTGTTTCGGAATCTTCGGCGTATGTGTTGTTCTAGTAGATCTAGTTTCAAATTCTTCATTGTATGTAGTCTCTTCTCTTTTCATTTTTATTGTAAGTTATGTTTAAATTTTGTATTTTATTATTCTTCCTTTCAATCTCTGTTTGCATAAGTTTGGTTTAGTGAACTTATCTTCGATTGTTGTAACCAGTCTGGCCCATGCCACCATATTCACACTTTTTTAGATTTTCGACTAACATCCCCTGGAACCAACATCAGCTGGATTATTTGAGTTTGGACGTGATGCCACTGACTGCAGGATAATTGTTGTAATCTCAACAACTCTGTTTGCCACAAACACCTTCCAGTTGTTTGGATCTCCAAATAACCATGACAGGACAATGGACGAATCTGTCCAAGCAAAATTTGAGTTGCAGGAATTCTCATTGTTTACCAACTTGCTTAAGCAATCTTGAGAGTATCAACGCGCGCAAAGCTCTAAACGCGGTAGGAATGTTCTCAATGGAGCACTTGCTTGCTGCGATAAGCGTCGTTTTGTTGGCACCGTCTGGGTAAGTCACTCTGCAAATACTACAGCACTATTGCTTGAATGGAGATCGCTGAATCCAGGAGCTATGACTCTCTGTTGGCGCACGTCGTACCTATCCATCTTTCTATGTAGATTCCATTCACAGTTCAAGGTCAGATCGCAATGTGACCCATTTGCTGGTATTTTAGAATTCAACATCGTCCCAGGTAATTTTTCAAGCCAGTTCTTGCATAATATCTTTGTCAGAACGATGTAGGTGCAATCCAGCCGAGTGGTCAAACAACTTTTGGATGTCAGACAGAATGCTTCGCTTCGTGATCACTTTATTGATTGAAGGTAAGTTTAAATTGTACTCGAATCTGTCTTTTCCTAAATTCCATTGTACGCCAAGTGCCTTTATTGTTCCATCAATCTTCATTCCAGATTAAATTAGCGTCTTCACTAGGATCAACTGTTTCCAAGAACTCTCGGCTGTTGGATGACCATTTTTTTAGTTCGAATCCACCCAAATGAAGAAGCGCTTTAAGATCTTGACTCTTCTTTATTGCTTGTTGCAGATTGTCACCTCCAGACATTGCATCGTCTACATAAAAATCTTCACGCATTTAGCAGCTTCTGGATACCGGTGCCTTCATTTCTGCCAATTTCATAAGGGTTCTTACGGGAGATAGGAGCAGAAGCTGTTCCAAATGTAACAGTCAACAATCTATAGTCTTTGACTTCTTCAGAATGGTCATTTCTCCACAAAATTTTTGAAATCTGTGTCTTCTCGGTCAACCCATATCATACGGTACATTTTCTGGATATCAGCCACAAAACAAACGGCGTGAGTTCTCCATCTCATTATCAGGTTCCTCAAATCGTCCTGCAGTACAGGACCCGTCAACAGTTCGTCATTGAGAGAGACACCGTTGGAGCCCTTGCACGAGGCGTCAAATACGACACGAGTTTTCGTGGTTTCTTTGTCATTACGAATCACGGGGTGAGGTAAGTAGACTGATTTCTTTTTTTCTTCTTTAGGTATTTCTCCGATTTTAGGTCTAGTAGTCTTCAATTACCTTCTTGTCTTCTTGCTTTAATTTTTATTTTGATTGAACCTTCTTTCTAATTGCATTAGTCTCTTCATTGCTATTTCTCTCGTATTTCCTTCTGTTGATTTAGGTTCTTCAATGTTGAATGGCAATTTGACAACATATTTCCACATTCATCTCGTTTCTGTGTCTTAGTGTAAATCTTCGCATAACTGTTCCCTCTGTGTTAGGTTTCTTTTCGTATCTTCATCAACTTCCCATATTGTTTTCAGTAAATCTTCTATATCAACTTCTTGTTTCATGACCGTTAAGGATTGTTCAGGCTTCTTGACCTTGATGTCAATTCCACCCATAGAATCCATCCCAGGTATGTTCTGTGCGATGGTGTACCTGGTGGACCTTTGATCAATCCCTTCTTCATAATGTTTACATACTCATTGACACCCAACAGCAGATCGATGTTACAGGATGCGGAAAATGTTTCGTCTGCTAGTTGAATGCCAGCAAGATGCGGCCAATCTCTTCTTATTATTGTGTCTGAATGTAGTTGAGGTAAGGGCTTCGTCATCACGTAGGCTTTAATAGGTAAAATAAATTGTTCCATCGTATAATACATTTTACTTCATGTTGACTCTAACCTTCGTGGACTCAAGTCCAGACACGATAAGATCTATGCTGTCTTGTGTAGTTTCAGGATCTGAGTTGCCTTCTCACTTATAAAAGCTTGAGATCCTGAGTCTATCAGCGCCTTCAATGTAGTAGTGTGTCCACATTCATTCTTTAAAAATACTGAGTGGCTAATAGTGAAATTGTCTGTTTCTGCCCTGCGTGATAGTGTGACGCAACCATTGCTTGAACTTCCCCTTCTTCTTCATTTGCTTGATTGGATGACATCGTTGATTAGCTACAACGAGAAGCCGAGCCTCCCCGTATTGGTGATGTAGAAGAGTGTGGTGACGTCTCTTACATACACGGCATTGTTGGCACGGCACCTAACACCGAATGTCCAACCCCGAGGCAGTTGAAACAGAGCTTGTTTGTTTTGACAGTTCTCTACGTTCGTTTGGTGACATTTGGTGAATACTTTACAATGGCATAACGTGTGCGCATCTGTACATAAGGCACAACTTCTTTGCTTTGGTCTTTCCGTGGCTGTAACGTGAAAGACTCGTTCCTTGGCAAGCTTCGTAGTAGTGGGGGTTGACTAATTCCAATGTTCTGAATTTTGCCTCTAAAAACTTGCGCAGATCCCTCCAGTCGACAAGTCCTGGGAATTCTCTGAGTAGGACTTTTGTTCCCACTCCTTCTGGGACTCTGGTCCAACTTCTGTGCAACCAGAAATAGATTACTGGATCCCAAGAATCCGTGGACACCTCCAGATTTTCTAGACTCTGTAATACTTCGTTGGTGGTGTCGAGAAGAGATTTCAGTTGGTTGCGGCTTGGCTGGTACATTTTTCTGAGCAAAGTCGCTTCAATAATGCGTTCACTATAGACGCTTGTTGCCATATCGATGTTAGCGTTCCCCATGTTGAATGTAATTAGCGTTGTTTTGTAATGTTCTTCAATAAACTTGCTGGTTCACCTGTCACACTGGTTTTTAAATAGTGAAGTTTTTCGACGTCGTCTAGTTTGTGGAATTGTGGACGAGTGATGTAAACAAATCTTTGAAACTAGGCCACAATTCATACTCGCCCGAAAACAGCGGTAATGTATACCGGGAGATTAATTTTTATTTTGTTGGGTTCTGGCGCAATTGTTTATTTTTGCCAGACTCGAGGCCAACATATCTTTTAAGTCTCCCAACACACAAATACAATCTTCTTGTAAAAAAATTCTTCATTCTCGAAATATGAGCAATCCACGCTGCTCACGAGTGGTGCAGGTCAATAATTAGGCTTCTATGAATATCACCAGTTTCCTCATTTTTTATTCTAGATTTAGTAGCCCATTTAGCCAGTGTTCTTTGGGGCATTGTAGGTTGATCTGAGTTTTCTTCAATAAAGGGCTGTATTTTCGAGTAAAATTGCTTGTTCAGTTTCCGTGGCCATATTTTACAGTCACAGTCGAAAATATTCACACAAAACTTTTAAAATGACGTCCCAATAAACCTAATTGTCTTTAAAAATTGCATAAAACTTCAACCCGGCACTCGCTTATCGCTTTGGAATGCAGTTCTATTTTCTCGCGGTAACCGGTCCTCGATGCAATGTGTTTTCTATTCGCTGAAGTCGACCAGGTAAGGTCGTAGTTCTAGTTTAATGTGCCGGCGGATCGTTTAGAAAAACACGTTTTATTCACAAATATATTGGCAACTAAACTTTTATTTTTAGGTTTAAATTGCAAATAGAATCACCAGATTGACCGGAATATATCTTCACATACAAATTTCTATTAAGAAGATAGACCTATTACATACTGGCTGCGTTCACAAGAGCTGATTGTTATGTTAATAGTTATAAGATCTTTGTATATATAATTTTACTATATGTCACTGAACTCCCCTTAAACGGCTGGACCGATGCATTATAATTTTTTTGTATGCGTTTGGGTGGCGCCCTGGTTTAGATTCACAAATCAGCCCGGCAGATGACGCCGCAGTACTTTCATACTTTGTTTAATATCCTAATCGCTTGAAATATCATGCAGGACAACGTCTGTCGGGTCTGCTAGTTTTGTGTATATTTATTTTTCAATTTTATGTATGTCCTGAATAATTTCCAGGTGCAAATTAGTTCGGAAAATAGTTGGCGTAACTCACCCGATAAATCTCGTGCCGATAGACGAGTATCGATGCGTCGTGTTGTGCAGACGAGAGCTAAGGGTCTACGATTTAGATCAGGTATATTTTATACACAAATTAAAACGATTTTATTCAATTTCCTAAATCAATGCTTTGGTGGTATTAAGCCTCTTTTTTATTTATAATATTTCTTTATGAGTAAATAGGTTCAGGTACGTAATTTATTTTCTATGCTGTTTTCTTTAACTATGTTAATGCATATAAATCGCACACAGCAGTTTTAACCCTAAAGCTTAGGTTTCCTAGAAAAGCGGTGCCGTTAACTAACGGCCGTCATTTTACGGATGTTAATAACGGCCGTCTTTACTTTTTAACATAATGCAAAAAAACAATTATTTTCGCTCGTCCAAGTCACGTTTCCACTCATGGTATTAATTAAATATGGGCACCGCTACACGCGAAAAACGTTGAACTAATGTTTATCACCGCTATGACGGCCGTCATGCAAATGACAGCACCGCTATTTGACGTTATGGTGACACTCAACGTTCTCTAGGAAACCTACTCGATGTTATTTATAGACAATATATGGGTGACGTCACCCAACGCTATATTACGGCCGTTAGATAACGGCACCGCTTTTCTAGGAAACCTAAACTTAAAGCGTTCTAACGCACGACTTTAGGGCTAAAAATCTCTGTTACTTTTTAAATATAATAATAATTCAGGGGTGCTACAACATATTATAAATACATGTCTTTGATCATTTTTACTTTATATATTATATATAATAAGGTTCTTCACGATCTTCACCGTACAAGCAAGCGAGCAAGAGTTAATTTCGCACATTTTTTATAGAACAAGGGGCAAACGGGCAGGAGCCTCACCTGATGTTAAGTGATACCGCAGCCTATGGACACTCTCAATGCCGGAGGGCTCGCAAGTGCGTTGCCGACCTTTAAAGACATATAAGAAAGAAACTTCTAAATCGTTTAAAAGAAAGCGGTACATTCAGATTGATTAATTATAAAAAAGCGCACAATATACATGCAAATGTCCATAATAGGTATCATAAGTTTAGTTATTTACAATTGTCAAAACTTATGGGCTAAATACTCTCCCTATAAAGGCCCTTGCCTTTAAATATTTAATTTGATATTGATAATGAAAAACACAATATTTATTTTTTATTACCATAAAATACATACAAGAATCTATTGTTATAAAAATCTTGATATTTCCAGGGTAAATTCGTAGTAGCTTTAAAAGGAGTTATGAATCAAAAAATGCCGTTCTATGGTCTTCACGACTCCAAACATTTGGTTGCGTTATCGAGGAATAGGATGTACGTCAATCTCATGAACATCGAGACGGGTGAGTGATTGTAATATTGAATATTCATTGTAATTCACTTCACGGATTTAATATAAACTATCACTTCAAAGTAAATGAAGAATGCCCGCGCGCATGTGTTTTATATTCTATATGTACGGTATTCTACTGTGGGGTGCTGCTGCAGAGGTTAAATCGGGGTAATTCGGGAATTTGTTGTGTTTCCCCAAGTGAGTCAGTAACGGGTTAAGTTTAAGGAATGAAATATTATGACACTATCTAGTCAATATATTCTTGAAGTCTTGTTGTATGTACAAAAAATATAAACGATTTGAAAAAAAATGTGTGCGTGTACTAGGTGTACACACATAAGAAGTGAAACATCTTTATGACCTTATTTTTTGAAAAATGATTTATTTATATGCAACTTTACAGAAATTGGTTAAATAAAGTTAAATTAGATAAAGTTTAACAAAAGGCTTTTGTTATCATAGACATGAATACAAATACAATTATTTCATTTTACCTTATTACTACTAAAATTATAACAGAATTTCATTAATTGTAATAGAATTATTACTATCATTATTATCGTTATTATATATTTTTGTTATGGCTTTTCACAACGGAACGTTATATCTACTTTGAATGATCGTTACAGGTGACTGTGTAACTACATTCAAAGCTGGCGAAGACAGATTTTTGAATTCGCTGCTGGTGTCCGGCGATGGCAGGTTAGTAACTTAAATGGGTAATTGCACTTTATTTCAGCACATTAATTTCTTCCTAAATGGCAGATAAGTCATACTTAGCGATGTAGCATATACATATTATTTTTAAATTTCTCATAATATTTACTAATAATTCATAATTACATTTCAAATTTGTTTTTATTAAAACTTTATCGATACTTTAAATCGACATCCTTTAATTGACACTCGCACGCAACTAAAAATCTCTGGTCTGGTCTTGCACGTTCCGCGCGTGTGTGTGCGTGCACGCAGGTTACCTGAAAGTAGGGAGAGCGACAGTGCGTTTTTTGATAATACAACGAGTTATTGTCCGTATACTTACATTAATTATATAGTTAAGTATAGTTGTAACGCTTAAATCTGTAAGCTATCGCAAAATATGCTTAAGGAGTATTAAGATTTACCATAGCGCTAAATCACCTGCATCATGAGCACACCTCACGTACATACCCTCAATTTACACAAACATAGCTGAATTAGGTATTACGTATTAAATATTTTTTTATTTAAAGAAAAAACTTTTTAACCGGATTAAAGTTATGTATTATTATAAATTTACAATTATTTAACATAATTTTAAATATATCCGACGTTTCGCGTGCTTTACAGCGTATGTATAAGACATAGACGACACACAAAATCAGCAGTCTGTGAACACATACTAGATAGGCCTAATCACTACATACGCTTTGACCAACCGAAAGTACTTGCGAAAGAAAAAAAGATTCTTCCCAAGATTGGTACGCGTAGCCATTGAAATAAAAAAAACACCCCAATTTCAATAGAGAAGACGGCCTAAAATTGTCAAACACCTGGGATCCAATAATATCCAAATTAAAACCTCAAGAAAAACAATCCGCGAAAATAGAGGACACCGTGAGCCATTTTTGCCAAAACCCTCCATCTTTTAGTCGATACCAACTCCGGGGAAATAAATACAGATAATGCAACTTTCTCTACAGCTGTGATACTTTTTGACATTCAACACCTTTTGTCTTGAGTCACCGTGACCACGCACGCTGTAAAGCACGCGAAACGTCGGATAAATTTAAAATTATGTTAAATAATTGTTAATTTATAATAATACATAACTTTAATCCGGTTAAAAAGTTTTTTCTTTAAATGTGTAAAGGTTATGTCAATCAAAGACAATACTATATTTTTTTATTGATTTCTTTTTTCCGTAAGTATTCGAACCTTTTTGTGTATATTATGTATTCCATATTTGGCTATATGTTTAATAAGATTGTCTTTTGTTGTATATAATTTATGTTAGCTAAATATACAAAATAAATATTTTAAAAAACCTTGTTTAGGATTTTCAAGTAAATAATATTTAAGAAAAAGCAAGGAATGACTAGTTAGTATTATCTAAGAATTTGAAATAAATTTAACAAAAATTAAACCGGCGAAGATCCTAAATAAGAATTTCGTTACGTTAGAGGCTTTAATAAACATTTCACTAATCATTATTATATATTTTCCAGGATACTTGTATGTGGTGATGAAACCCAAAAACCATTTCCTCTATTAGTATGGTCGTTGACTTCTCGTAAACTTCTGTACGATTTAAGAATACCACACCATGATTTCGTCACTTCCAAAGCTGCTATTACCTATGAAGGTAGGTTCTTCTTTGTGTCCTTTTTGCTCCTTAATGCCAGGATATTCTGTTTTTCTACTCTCATGATATTATTCAACTTTGACCTTTACATATTTTTGAAGTGAAACTTCTTTAGGCGCATGAGGGTAAATTTTTTACGAATGAAACGCAATAATAATATTAGCGTCACGAAGATGTGCAGCGGATTTGTTGAAGAAAAGTCAGATAGCGATTGAGACGGATTGAGAGAGAGTGAGAAGGGCGAACGTAGCATAAAGCAAGCCATTGAACGAGAGAAGGGAGCAAGCAAATGAGAAAGATCGAGAAAGAGAGTGAGATAGAGCGAAAATTTTAACTTCATCCTATATCTATCATTTAAGTTTCTTAAGAGAACAATGTTAGGGCATAAGAGTTTTATAAAGGCTAAAGTGGGGCATGGTGTTTGGGAAACCGGATTAAAGCATCGAAATCCCGCTTAATACGATTTCTCACTATATTACATTGCAGAGAAAATACCCAAACTGTTTACTTAAGACGCATTTTGTTCCCGTCTTAAAAGCGCCCAACAGCAATAAAATAGCCGAAACTAACTGTTTGACAACACTTATTTGTAGGTTCCTACGTGTGCGTGGTGTCTCGGGAGTTGGACGAACCGAGTCCCAACTTCATAGTGGTATATGACCTTCAATCTGGGACATTGTTCAAGAAGTGGAAACCGGGTTGTGATACTGTAGCATTGGCTATCAGTTCAGTAGACGGTTGTGTGGTATCAGCGCTCGCCGACACGAGAATACTTGTATGGGATTTGGTGACAGGTAGGGGACGTATTGAAATAATTAAAAAATAATAAACAGCAAATTAAACATTTAATCCCCCCTTACTCTTGTCATCAAAACTAAGCATAGCTCTCAAAAATTACATAAACGTATTAATTTTTTTACGAATCCTCGAAAATGCATTTCGTTTTCAACCATAGACAATGTGTGGGTAATGTGTGTAAAAAATAATTACTGTTGACGTAATCACCAAATAAGAAAAAGAAAGATCCTCTTAAAAAATAACAACTTGTGTAATTGTTATGTTTTAGACGAAATTATAATTAATTTACCTAAATTAATGTACCTTCAAATTTTCTCTTTACTTCTATGACCTATTGACTATTCTAGGCAACTGTCGACTGTCTCTTAGCGGACACGTATGTGCCGCAACACAACTGCGATTGGCAAAATCAGGTGGTTTGCTTCTATCAGCCGATCTCTCTGCAACAGACTTGTCGGTACGACTATGGGACTTGCATTCAGGTAAACATTTTTTTTTCTTTTATTGTATAAGGGCAAGCGAGCATCCGGAACGCCCATAAAGGGCAGTCATCTCAGCTCATGGTCACCCATTTTTGGGAGTGCGTTGCCGACCTTTACAGCATGAATCCATGGAATGTACTGCAAGCGTACAACAAGTGTATTGTATTATATAACAAGATATTACATATGTGAGCGGTGTTGGCCTAGCGGCTTCAGCGTGCGACTCTCATCCGTGAGGTCATAGGTTCGATCCCTGGCTGTGCACCAATGGACTTTATTTATATGTGCTTTATTTAACATTCGCTCGAACGGTGAAGGAAAACATCGTGAGGAAACCGATATGTCTTAGACCCAAAAAGTCGATGGCGTGTGTCAGGCACTGGAGGCTGATCACCTACTTGCCTATTACATTGAAAAATGATCATGAAACAGATTCAGAAATCTGAGGCCCAGACCTAACAGAAGTTGTAGCGCCACTGATTTATTTTATTTATTATTACATATTATGTGAAATTATGTTTTTATCAAAGCGGTTACGATAAGAGGTGCGAATGGAATTGGCATGTTTCGTTCAGTTGTGAATGGCCAACAGCTACTTTAGTTCACACGAACTAATTCTTAAAAGTTCGGCAACGCACTCGCGAGCCGAGGCAACGAGAGTGTCCATGGGCAGCGGTATCAGTTAACGTCAACTATAAAAAATAACACGATCTGTCTTTCTAATTGACCAATCAGAATCAAGCAATTCGTTTTTCAATCTCCTTCCTCTCGCAGCAAGATAATATTTTCCCATTTTCAGGAAAGCTAATAGCAGTATACACTCCACCCGAACGCATTACTTCATGCGAGATCCTCTTAGGTGGATCAGTTCTCGCTTTAGCTTTAGAAAATCATAAAGAAATCGTCTGCGTTAAATTATACGGTCCGACGGTAGAGTGTGTTAAAAATGGCCGAGAAATGGAATATGACGAAGATAGCTACGGCCATGTTGAGTACGACGGGAAGACATTCGAAGTCAAAGACGCATGATCTCCATTTTAATTAGCAATATTATCGTCGATAAGATTAAAGGAGTTTATATTAAGAAAAAATATCTCCTTCATTTGTGTTTCAACGTTGACTTAATTAGATTTAAACAGTTTTAAATCATACTACCATACATTTTACCAGAAATTATGTATTATTAAATTTCACAATATTATTATATCTACAGTATATGTTACAAGCTTTTCTAAAATGACAATTATGGTATACATAAATGTTACAAATTAAAACGTAAAAATTATCAAATTTTAGATTTTATAAGTAAATTACAGCGCGAACTGTTTACTTAACTTAAGGTTTATGTAACACCACACTTTATTAACCGTGACAAATTTTTAAGTATCGCAATAGGAGTTTTCCTTTCTTTTGAACGGAATCTCGCTGTTGGCCTTAAGGGCCTTTACAGCTCAGCTCAGGCTCAGCGAACGTAGCTCGGTCGGCAATGCGCGTTTCGCTCAAGGCTTTTAGGTTGTATAAGTAGCCCAGTTTGTCTTTGCTTTCACATATTAATAAAATGGCTATGAATTCCATATTCTCTTATCGACGATAGAATAAAGTGCTGGACATAAATGTAAACTGGCGGTACAAAGAAGAAATATTTTAAGAATTTCAACTTTAGTATTTTACACCATTTATAAGCTAAAGCACGCTGTGGTGGCTAAGTGTGTGTCTGGTTAAGGTTGAGTCATATGTCAGATGTCAAGTATGGCGCAAATTTGAATTGGCACAATGCGGTGCAATAAACTGCGATTGTGTTAATAGAATATTAATTCTTCTACATCTCCTCTAGTCATTGCAAATTGAACCCACTCCATGTAAATTGCTCAATTTATGTTAAAATGATTATTTTATACCACAAAACTGTGAGAAATTGTATCTAGTGTAATTGCAATTGAAAGCATTGTATTAAAAACATGTCAGCCGTTATTTACACTAATCCAGCAATCATACCTCATATTTAATAATAATTTCAACGATTGACACCAAACGGAGCTCTAATGACGTAATGTAACCAGAACGACGACAAAACCAAACTTCTAGTTATTTTATTATCCGTGGCTCTGATGTCGCAAACTTGGAATTAAGAACGGGGTCGACATCGCCATTTAAGTTTTTTAGTAAGCTTGCTAGCTTGAACATCTTTCCCTGAAAAAATACGCACTAGAAAAAAGATTCTAAAATAACTTTTTACATTACTTAGTTATTTATATAAAGAGGAGACCAATATCAGTTATATCGCCATAACATTATCAAATCATAAATTATAGATAAGCAAAAATTAAGGTAAACACAATCTTTTTACCAGCACTTATTCCCTTAATACACGCACAGGTATTTTTTTAGAACACCCATAATCAAGTCGACGATTTTTTACGACTGCAATAAATGCGATCACCGAAGAATTTGGTCCTTTACTAAGGTATTTTACTGATTATTTATTAAGTTTGTTTACAGCTAATACTGCCCTATACATAAGAAATTGCCCAAAAGAACTTAATGTTTGATCTATTACGCTTATTAATTACATTAAATAGGATTAATTAATATATTGACTCTATTTGTAATGTTAATGTTTAAATGTATTGTTAAATAGAATAAAAATGACTGTTCTTTTAATAGCTTATGCACAAAGGCTAAACATCTAATGATGCTAGTGACATTATATTGAATGACATTTGACATACCTTGTAGCATTAATCAATCAAAATTGATAAGTATTGTCTGTATATATGAGGTTCAAACACAAGACTAAGCGCGAACTTTCTCCCGTCTGTCAAAATCGAATATATTTTTGACGTCCTTGTACGTCAGACTTAGCGCTTAGTGCTGTCTTTGAATCTTACTTAATCCTGAGTTTAGACAGTGCTAAGTGTGATTCCTGTATGTCAAAAACGCACTTCATTTGAAGTTATTGATATTTTTTTACGGATATAAACGATTTATTTATATCCGTTAAAGAAGTGATTTTTTATTATAAAAAGATACTGTCTCATGTTTCTCTTAGCAAAAATCCACATACGCCTGCTTGGGAAATACAGCGAAAATTAACTTAATTAAAAAAAAATGAATTAAAATATGGTAATAAACTTGTTAGTTTCGAATCGCGATGAAGATTTATCCCATTTTAAAGTAAATTATACTAAATTTAAAACTACTTATTTAATTGAAATTTACGACGTGTTATCAATATTTTTAATAGTAATATGTAAGTATTTTGGTTTGGAAGGCGCTTAAGTAAGAAAGAAATCGTGCAAACACTTTAAAATTTCCATGTCTCAATGTTGTAGCACAAATATAAGTTTTATCTATGTACTTATCTATTAAAACGACTTGACCAAAGCAATCTATCTGTATCTAGTTGTAATTTGGCTACAATCGCGGGCAATTTCTTTGGCACGAAGACTTAAAACATGGTGACTTAACTAACATTGAAAGTCATGAATTCATATCGTCTTAAATTAATTGCCAGCAACTGTACTTTTAATCTTAGATTCTAGGTTTATCTTCGAACCCAATGTTTTCGTGAACCTTAAAAAGTATTTTTGATATGGTTAAAATAAGTTTTTTTATTTTGCAAAATGGCTATCCACTTTCTAATTCATAAATTTAAAAATAGATTTAAGTGCACAGAACATAGGTGTTTATTTGCACTAGTGGATTTCTGTAAAAATGCCCAAACGGATAGTCATTTTATTTTTATTAATTTTTTGGGGGTCTGTTTTATCTCTTGTTTCTTGTAACACTTAAAAGATTTTAACATTTCTATTTGTAAATGTAGATCTTCCTTGAGACTGACACTACTTTTATGAACAAATTTTAAAAGTGATATTCAGAATTGAACGTTAGTAGAACGAAAACATAGTTCCCGTTAATAGAGATTTTTAAACGCAGGAGGCAAAACAGACAACCGTATAGATTAGTTAAATTTCCTAACATTATGCGCTTATTGCGGTTAAGCTCTGCTTCCGCATTTTACTCCTTTAAGTTGTAGAGCACAGGCTGGCCCTGTGTTTAGTGTAAGCTGTATTTAATCAATTGAATTGTTAACATTTATTATCTCTGGAAAGATACATATTGATGTCCAGATTAAACTCGTAAATTGTGGTTGTGTGTTTCATTTCCTTTTTGTCCCCATGCACCTCTTCAATGGAAATAATAAATAGAGACTATAAATACTAATATCAAAATATTGCAATATTCAAATGTCAAAATTTTGCCCTCTACGGTTTCGAAATAATTAATCTCGGAGAATTTATGGTTTTCCTCCAAATTTAGGGGGAACCAAGTCTATAGATCGAACTTTTATACTACTTAAATGTATTTTTGATGCATATTTGAAATTACCTTTCAAACTGAGTGTACAAAACAAACTTAAGGGGTTTTTAATCGATATTAAGAGTATTTGATGTTGGTCCTAGGGGGAAAATTTTGTAGGAGTTGGTATCACTGAGCATTTATAAAGCGATTATGGGAGTTGAGACAGTGCGAACTATAACTCAATATCCAATACGCTATTTGCGTTGATTTGGCTTATCATACTGTCTATTCTGAATATTGCCTATAATACGTGAAATTTAACTCAAAGGAAACTTTACATTGCCTTGATTGAAAATGTCAATTAGATTTTTGATTTCGTCATTTAAATATACCGTTTATTTCATAATTCTTAAATTTTAAAGGCCGGCCCACTAAAAATGGGTGTCTATGGGCTGCGAAGACTGCCCTTTTTGGTCGTCCCGCAAGCTCGATTGCCCCCCTATTATATAAAAAAAAATATTAATAATAATAATCACAAGATTTGATCCTGATTTTTATTAATAATTTCAATTCAGATTTTAAGTTATCTCGATTGTTTTTATTACTATTAATTATTGTGAATAAACTTGTTTTAATTATATATATTGGAATATATTTCTTGTTGAAAAATTCTACTTGGTCTGTCTGTTCGTATGTATATTTTCATCCAAGTATGATATATTGTTCTGTATATTTTTAAACAACAATAATTATTTAGCTTTGTTGCTGTTGTTTGTTGTTTCTTATGTGTTTTATCGTAGATAAAAAAGAAGCCAATTTCAATTTCCTAGTCAAACAGCAGCATTTATTTATGTTTGTCTAGAATAAACAAAAGTAAAGTGAAATGATTTTTATTTTAAATTACATATTTTACATGAAGGAAAATTATACTACACTAATAAGTTCACATCCTAACAGGACTGGAACAGACCCTTAGCCTTCATTTCTTCAAATTCCTTCTCAGCGTCATATGTCCTGAAAAATAAAAAAGTATATAACTATTTTACCACTAGCGCCATCTAGAAGCGTTACGTAAAACTAATCGAATGTAGTATCTATGTAGGATTGATTAGCTTTAAAATGTAATTTACTTATTTGCTATAACTATTATATTCATACAAATATGAATGCTATAATTTTACTTTAGTAGAACTTTAAACTACTAGAAAAATTATACTTACAATTAAAATTTAAATTCTACAAACTGTTATTTTAAGTAAAAAATATTTTTTTTAGTAACTAAAGATTATTAAAGAGCAGGTAGATCTTTTAGCATTTAAATTTTACTCAAACCTGTCCAAAATGCAATTTTTTCGTAAATTCTTTAGCATTAGAGTAACTCAGAATCCAATACATAAGTGATTATATATTCAATTAATCAAATTGAGAACTCTTAGAAAGTAAAAATCTTACCTGTAGAATTCAGCGTACTTCCTCTTCCGCTCACTGGCAACAAGCTGCTGGAAGGTAAGTCCAGATAAACCAGCAAGGGTCAGAGCAACGATCAGATTTCTCTTAATAGCATTGTTCAGGAGGCCTCGCATTAAAGGCTTTGCAACTGTGGATACAGCACTTTCACCGGCCATCTATAACAGTAATAAAGGTATTGTTCATGTTAAAACCTAAAAAATATTGGCACTTAAACTGAGACAAGCAAGAAAATCCTTGCAAGTAGGAAAATGGCATAGCTCATGCAAAAAGATACATGGTAAACACCCTCTGCTCCATCCCCTAGACATAGGTGTCACTATATCATTGAAGCTAAACAAGATAGATTATACCTGCCCGTTTTAGATTATGAAAATTAGAAAAAAAAATTAGGTAGATTGGCTCATAGTTTATATAAGATCGGGTCCTAATAGATTATAATCACTTTTCGGATTTATTATTTGTGCAAATTCACCAGTCGTAATTAATAATTGGTAAACACTAATAATGTTAAATATATTTGTATATATTTTTTTTTAAATTCAAATACAGAATTGGAATAGAAGTAGGGTTATCAAATCTTATCAATGTTAAAGTTATGTTACCAAATATATTAATCAGTACAGTTCGAATTAATTAGTTCACTATAATAAGTTTTTGCCAGTTGCAATTATAATGTTAGTAGAAAAGCTATTATGATTTTATTGTTGTTTGAGAACAGGATAATGATTTATTGATGTTCTTACATAACACATATTAGTAATGACTATAAACTGAAAAAAAAGACATGGAGAATATATTGAAATTGGTATTTATATTGAAATCAAATATAAAAAAATATATAAAACTTACTTTTATTATAAATAAGTTGACGTGAGAAACACGAATTATTTTCACAAGGAATAAGGTTTTCAATGGTCGACTGAAAGTGACTGCAAGTGTTGTAAGCCCCTTCGAAGAAGCTCTCTTATTGGCCAGGTGAAATCGATCTACGAAAACCGCCCAATTAAATTACCCGAAAGAACTATTCTGATTGGTGTAAATAACCATGTCCGATGCAGATAAAATATACCGCTAACCGCTTATGAATGAGCAGCACCCATAGATTCAAATAATCATAGACTAAACATAACTGATTGCGCGCAACTTTTAAAATGTATATTGCTTTAAAGCTACGTATTTCGTAATCTAGACTAGCTTATTCAGGCATTTAAGGGCCTCATAGCCTAGCGGTCTTATTAAGTGGCAGCTAGGTGAGGGGTACCGGGTTCGAGGGCAGGTTTTAATTTAATTTTGTTCTCTGCCTTTGGGAGGGTTGTGCGGTACCGGGCGAGTGCTTAAACCATACATAGAGGGCACGGTCGAATTTCTAAGGCAAGCAGTGAGTATGCTACCTAAGAAAGGAGACTGTGAAGGTTTAGAACGTAGCAATACGTTCTAGGCCGAGGATGGTCATTACAGTGGTCAGTAATTCAACAGCTTATTCAACCGTTATACATACATAAAAGTTATTTTTACTAGGTCGAATTTAATCGTAAGGTAAAAAATTATTAACGGATAAATGCACAATCAGTTATCAAAATATGATCAAAAATCACTTCGAGTCAATTTTGTCGGCCATGACGGAACTTGATATGAGTTTCCGCATTATCTTTAAAGTTTACGTAATAACAGTAGATGTTAAATTTTATATTAGAATACTATTCTAATATAAAATTTAACAAATGCATTGCCACGAATTTTTTTACGGATTTGTAACTCCCGTCCCGAACAAAAGGAACATAAAAACAAGAAACAATTTTTTATTCATTTATTAATAAACTAACTTTACAAATTTAATAATAGCAGAACAATAATATTCCTTATTTTCTTTCATTTTTAATAATAATATGATAATAATTCACCATGACTCATCATACTTTATGAATATAATTATTATATGATTTAAAAATAATGGAGAAACGACAGAAAAAGCAACTTACAGGAAAATATATGCACAATAAAATGATGCAAACAATTGCCAGCAACAAAATGTACAGCGCTCACTCGTCTAAAACCGCGCGACTAACAACACCAACTAGAAAAAATATTACAAATAACATAATTGTTAAAATTTATTGTATCGATTCATTTATTTCATTATTTCTGCGATTCTATTTACATGTTATATGTTGACATACCAAAACTATAATATGCTATCTCGTGGTGTAACCCCTAACCTATATGTATAAGTGTTTAAACTATTTGTATTCCTCTTTCATAAATGTATAATAAAGATTTTTATCGGCATAAATTACTATCATTTAGTCGAAAATAAAAACAAAAACAATACAACTAAAAGGATAACTATACACCCAATATACACACCTAGTTTGAGAGTTTATTATAATTATATGGTACAGGCTTGCGGGTCTACTCTTATAATACAAGGCTTCACCGGCAGGAGACCGCTTCGACGCCCCCCTATGTACAAAACTCCCGAACAAAATCATAGAAAAACATTCTTAACGCGTAACATATATTAATTTCCCAACTATACATAAGATTTACAGATTACATCGGTTTAAACCGAATTTTTCAACTAATAACTTAATATCCACGAAAAATTTAACACAAAAGGCGTGCGCACGCTACCCCCCCTAACCCCGCATCTATCGCACACAACTATTACACGCTAAAATATTTTGGAACACTCCCACATGCGGCAACCGAACGTTTCGAATTGGAGGGTAGATTTAAAAAATATAGTAAATATGTTCAATTCAACAGCGCCTATAAAGTCCAGTTTGAAACGTACCGCCGCCGGATGCGGACGTATTCCAAAACTAAAATACACTATAGAGAATGCAGTAGACACAGCTCTAACCACGGCACATGTTTTAGGGCACAATTATCAGGCATTTTATTATATTTAACTATAAAATATTCTCAAAATCAACATCAAACAAAGACCTTCCTGTTTACCTATGAGCTACGCATTAAATTAAAATGTCAGTAAGGCAGATTATAAATATGTTAAATATGAATTTTGGCGCAGTACAACTGTCAACTTAACTGTGGTTTCAAGAATTTTTAAGGTTCCCGAATCAACAAAAGATCTTTGTGTGATGCTGTATATTAAACTACATACGCACTAACACCTTTGTATTGTAGCACTATCACTGATCAACTCACATTGACAATACGTCAAGGGACAGGAGAAATCGCGGGAAAAGAAAAATTGTGACTGAAATGGGATTGTAAAGTGGTAAAAATTCTAGAACTATAAAAATTAACCGATTCACATCCACCTTTATTGCTTAGGTTTGTATCTCAGACTTAGGACCGCAAAGTAATAACATCGATTTTTAAAACGTTGCCGAGAAAAATATTTTCAAAACTGTAATAAATACTAAGCCTACTTAGCAACTAAGCTCTCAAAAATTCAATTCACTATGTACAGTGCTAAAGTGCCTAAATAAAATTGCATTACGTCACGATCACTGGGTCAATTAATTTAAAGTCAAAGAATTTAAAGCAACAAATGAAATAGGAGATTGGATATAAAAGCAACGCGAGCGAATAAAGACAACTAGTGGGAAAGAAACTCAAATCTATTCATCTCGCTCTAACCTATGTGTACTTTCATAAATCCTAGCGAGACGGAATGATTTTTAAAGAATCTTGTTTCAGTCTATCTTCATTCACAGTGAACGATAAATCAAAGGTTTGTTTAGAATATTGGAAGCCCAAACAGACAACTGTTGAAACACTCACGATTATAATCGTGTACTAAGAAATTATTTAAGTATAATGTCACATTCAAATTACAATTATTGGTCGTGAATTCTTAATCATAAAAACACTAACATTACATCGTAATAGCGGTCGTTTTGCGCGGGAAACCGCCATCTTGAGAAACTCTCTAAATTAGAGGATTGAAAATGCAAGCTGTCAAATTTCCCGCCAAAACGCGATAAAACTAGAACGCGGTTCACTTCACGAAGTCACGAATCGTGCAAAAACGTATGAAAATATCTTTTTAAAACTTTATGAATTTACTCTTTATATCTCTCGGGTATATTATCCTATTATAACAATGTGCCTACAAGTAAGAGTGCTTTTTGTACAATATTGATACATTTCTATTCTCTAGACTAAGGCTCCCTCTCGCGTGCCGAAGCGAACACGCTCATATACTCCATACAAGAAAATAAACTTAGTTAAAACTGAGTGCTTCATAGTGAATGGTAACATCGTTTGTTCACTAAAATAAAAATAACTGTACGCCAAAACCGACTCGAGTGACAAAGTCCACCATCGCTCGTATTTCGTATAAATAAAGCGCGTAGTTGCGGAAAATTTTCATTTATAAACAGCTGAGATTCATAAAATGGAAAATTATGATGCGCGAGCGATCTCGAACACTCGAAAAGCGTGGGCTGCACTTGTATGCACCGATTTAGTCCTCTCACTCGCGATACTCTCACGATTCATCACAGTACGTATAGTTGTGTGTCAGTCTAGCTGGTAGAAAAGGGGCAGCTGGAGGTGGCGCGGCAGGGGGCACGGGAGCGGGAGAGGGGCCAAAGGGAGGGGCAAAGGGGACAAGGAAAGCGCGTGGGAACGCGCGCGTCGCCGCCGTCACTTGCCGTCGCGGGACGCACGTCTTCTGCGCACCGCACTGGGACTTGCCGTAGTACCTTCGCCCACTGGAAAGTGTATGCAATTATTAGTATGTATTTGCACATTCAAATGACAAAAATATCAGTATACCCATACCCAGACCATACCCATATACAGAACTTTCTTTTGAGGGTTTAGTTTGACTTTAAAAAACCCACGTATTTGGATAATTTCAATATGACGTTTTATTCAACCCGATAAAACTAAAAAAAATCAGAACACGTCATACTTGTACATCCAGCAATCATAACCATAAAAAATTCCGTAACTACTACTCACCAGCACTCCTCGTTTTCCGCCTGACAGTGGTGCTGTTGGGCGGCGCCGGAGTGGCAGGCGCGGTAGGTGCTGCCCCGTGGCGCACGGACCGTCTCGTCCCCACCCCTTCTGCCCCTTTCACCACCTTCACCCCCGGTTTCACTGTCTTCACCCCCTTCCCCCGCACCTTGCAGATCAACGGCTCGTCACTATCGCTATCCGAATCCTTCTTCCCTTTCCCTCCGACCGCCGGGATCCCTGGTTTCTGATCCACCCGTCTGGGTTTCTTCTTCGTTCGGCCCGGCGATAGGCCCTCTTCTATGCTAACGGTGGACGTGCATGAACTTTCTGACTCGCGACGTTTTCGCTTTCCCCCGGGGACGGGTTTGGCGTTGGCGACGGGGGCCGTTTTAGGACTGGTTTTGTCGACGGAACTGCTTCTCAAGCAGTTCCTCGGTTGAAGCGCGGGGGAATCGGACCGCTCGAGCTTACTTAGACCCGGACTGAGTCGCGGAGTTTTGGGTCCGTCCGCGGGGCTGTTCATTTTGCTGCTCGATCTCGTGCGCACGCTGCTCCGCGCGACCCTTTCTAAGGCGGATGGTGAGGGCGACTCGGGCCGTTTGCTGACGTAATCGGGTGTCGGTATCTCTATCAGCAATTGCTCTAATAAGCTCTTATCGGGGAAATCCGCTTTGAGTGGTAATCTTTCTATTTTGACCTCTGTCTTATCTCTTTCCGTCTCGAAATTTTTTGCCTCACCATTTTCGACGGCGGATTTTTCTTCCTTTATCTCATGTCCTTCCGTTGACGACTTTTCTTGATTAGAATACGTATAGAGAGGAGGCGAAACTCTGCTTGGTAAGTTATCAAACTCTTCACTCTTTTCTTTTTTCGGCGAAACGTTTCTCTCCTGTTTCGTCGCATCATCCTTTTGAGCAATATTACTTTCCAGCTTGATATCTTCTTTCTTGTCTTGGTCATTTCCTCTATCTATACTTTGGCAAGGCGGCTTGTCGTCGTCTCTTAGTACAGGTGTGGGTGTTCTTTTAACTTCTTTGGTCTGATTGCTTACATCGAGCGGTCTCCTAGGCGCGTCGTCCCCGTTTATGTGGTCGTGCATCTTGGCCAGTTCCGCTTCGATGTCCCCTATGTCATCGATATCTGGGGGCCCGGGGTCATAATGGGGTTGCCCCGTGGCCAGTGATAGCCTTTCTAAAAGTTCATCAGAAGCGGGGGTGGGGTCGATGACACCGATTATCCTCTGGACTGAGGTGGGACTGGTCGATCTGGGCATATCGAGGCGTTCTTTCCTCTGGGGACCGGGGGGCGATTGGCTGGCTTGATTTGGGGATTTCTCCGATAAGGCGTCCATGGATTCGATTCCCGAGTCTTCCCCTTGCGCTTGGGAGTTGGGCGACCTGTTAGTGAATTTCTCAGCTTCGGGGCGGGCGGTTCTCTCTGCGACGAGTTTGCAGTAGGACTTGTCCTTGGGGCGCTCCTTCCTCCTGGGCGAGACGGCGCCTGTTCGCTGACTAGAGGCGGGCGGGGAGTCCCCCCGGGATCCACCTATCGTGCCTACGTTTGTCGATCCAGGAGGATCTGGAACGCAAACAAAGGAACTCCTGTAAATATTGTATCTGTGACTGGAGGGAATCCTCCTGAAGAATTATTTCTTGAGAAATAGTTCTTCATATTAGTGTTACATTTGATTCAAATTATACATGCAGTTATAAGAAAATGGGCATACTACCTTCATTCAGTTTGATCACAAAAATCTAATTTATTTAATGTTGACAGGTATAAAAATATTTAAATTAAATTGATTTAGTTTGTCACATAAATTAACTTTAAAACTTATTATAATTAGGATGATTAGAAAGAAAACACAATGATTTTGATGAGTAATTTAGTTTATATTAGTCTGTCGAGTACAATTATACAATATATATTGATCAAAAGGGGTAAAATGCAATAATTTTATGCTTTTAATAAAAGATATTTTAATTAACAGGTGTATAAAATTTTTACACATTTTGTCAATAGCTTTCATTGTAATTTCTGGTGTACCCTACAAATTACATTAAAATATATAATATATAAATAATCATTCATTACAACACAATATCAATGCTTATGATAAAATGCCCATTTTCAAGAACTAAACAAAAAGGTACTATTTACAATTTTCTTATGTACAAAAATAGCCCTTCGGTCTTCCGGACTTCGGGAAGTAGCAAAACAATTTGACAACTTTATTAAAAGAAATGGCATGAGTGTTTTGTCGAGAGCTCTTTCACATTTTTATAGATATATATTTAAAATAGATCTCAAAATCTTCTCTCTCAGGATAATGTTACGTAAAAGAACTCTTTACAAATAATTATATACACTTGAGTATTTTATTGTAATGCAAGTATCACACAGTTTGTGGTACAATGTTTCCCGAACATCTCAATTTCCAGTGTAAAACTTGCATTAAATGTTACCTATAAACGACACAAGACTTACCTGGACAGGAACTATGTGTGGTCTTCCTCTTCTTCTCAGAGGATAAGAGCCCATTGGGAGAGGTGATAGCACTATCGGTAAGTGTCCGTTTTAACTTATTGTCCTCTTTCTCCTCACCCGCTGTCCTTTCACTAAGACACAGTCTCACTTCACTGCCGTCTTTTTCACATTCACTGTCAACCGATTGCACTTCACTGGATTTAATATCACATTTTGCCTCAACTTTCGTCGGTAACTTCTTCTTTGCCTCGTGATTGTTTGTCTCTCTGTAACCCTCGTTTTGCGCGTATTTCCCCTCCTTGTCTAGCAAATCGTTCCTCCATTCTTTATCTCTTTCTTTTTCTATCGCCTTACCGTCGCTGAGGACTTTCGATTTCTTTTTTAATTTCATATCTAAATTCTGAATTTTGTTATTTAATTTGTAGTCGTGTTTGGTCACGATATGCGCGTTCTTCGATATCGTCTTCATTCTATAAACTACGTTATTGTCCCCGGTGACATCCGTTTTAATCCCATCGCCGTCGAAGTGATTGTTGAGTTTCATATTTTTTACGTGTAAATACTCATCAGTCTTCGAATTCTCCGTGCTATCACTCGATTTTGTGGCCAGAGATTCTTCTGAATCCCTTCGATGAGATTTTTCATCGGACTCTATTGATTTTCTTATTTTCACCTTTTTGTGTAACTCGCCCGGGGCTAATTTTTTCTTTTCTTTTTTAGAATTCGTTATAACTTTGGAATTCCGCCCCCGTAAGCTTATGTGTAAAGGAGGCACCCTGGGCTCACTTTCCGCCGGTTTATCGGCCTTGGGTTGCTGGTTATTAAAGCTAATATCCGCTTTGTACACGGGTTGGACGACGGGCTCGTTCTTATCGAGCTTGAGCCGCAACTTGATGGACTCCTTCTCCCCGGGGGGAGACTTCGGCGCCTCGGCGTTGGGCGTCGAAGGTTTCGCGACGTGAGGCCGCGTTAAGGCAACTTTGGCAGACTTTCCGTCGCGCACAATCTTATCCTTCAGGACCGCGGGTTTCTCTTTGGCCCCGCTCCGGGGCTTCCCGCCTTTCTGCGCGATCGATTTATCGTCCTTGACGTCCTTCTTCGCTATCATTTTGCTTTTCGATTTGTCGTCATCCTTCTTGTCGTCGTCCGTTTTAGAAAAAATCTCCGACGGTTCGGTCCCATCTTTGACTTTACACTGGGCGACGATGATCTCCGGCTTCTTCTCGGGCTCCTTGGGAGGTGGCGGCGGAGGCGGCTCGTCGTCTCTCATGAGAGTTTTGATGAGATACCGTTTGTTCTGCTCCTCGATCTCCTGAGCCGTCGCCTGCGAGCCGACCGTAGCCGTCGAGACCGAAGCCGTGGCCCTCACGGGGAGTCTCAGGGGAGGGGGCATATTCGTCAGATGGTTGATCCTTTCGGGAGGGGGCGACTTGAAAGGTGGATTCGGACTGTTCTGGAACTTGGAAGGCACGGGCGGCGGTGGCGGCGGCATAAAGTTGTTCTCGCCGAAGTCTTTAGGCACTTCGTTCTGGGCGGGCACGTCGGGCCCATTCAGGGGATACTGGACACCGGTGATCTCCTGCAGCAGGGCATCGGGGTTGGAGTGCTCCTGCTCGTAAAGGAGATCGAGCTTATTGGAGTCGAGGTCGGAGATGGCGGAGAGGGCGGTGTCGTCCAGGTTGAGGTCCGGGGGGAGAGAGGGAAGCAGCTGGTCGAGGTCGCAGCCGTCGGGCAATTCGGGCAAGGCCAGTCCCAACGTGTCCCGGTAGGGCTCGTTCCAGTCGGGCTGCGGGGCGTTGGCGGCGCGGGACGCGGCGCGCTGCCGGGCGTTGTATTGCTGCTGATACCGCTGGAACTCCTGGAAACGTAATTATAACTCATTTAATATAATATCAACCAATCTATAGTATACACTATAATAGGTATTGATATTGTCCAATGCAAATCAAAGCTAAAGCAGTCTTATAAAATCAACAAACAAATGATAGATTTCTTTATTCAGAATAAATAAATAGGTATTGATTGTTAGATAGCAGAAAAGACAATATAAAAAATGTCGATTAAAAGATAAAATTGTACTAACACATACCTGGAAACTGGACTGCGTCTTCTGATCCATAGAGGTGGGCGGCGGCGGCAACAACGCCTGTAGGTCTTCCTGAGTGACTCGCGGCGGCTGGGGTCTAGGCCTGGGCACCGCTTGCCTGTACGGGGGCGGGGGCGGAGGGAACTCGGGATACGGAAACCGTTGCCGGGTGACAATCGTCGCGTTGGGGGGCGCCCGATACTGCGTCGGGGGTTGGGGTCGCGCCACGAATGCCCGACGGATGAAGTTCGGCCTGGGTCGAGGGGAGGAAGGGGAGGGGATGGGAGAAGACGTCGGCGTGGGGGGACGGAGCGTCGGCCGCGCACCGCGGTACTCGAACGGCGCTCGACCCACGGCTAGTTCCACCTGCGGACATAACTTTGTTTAAGTAACAGGGGCTTATGGATTTATTAGGTACAAGCTAATATCGCTTCATTTTTGAAATGATATATTAAAAACGATTCAGTGCAAGTGTCAAGTCACGAATATAATCGAACATTTTAAGTGAAACAAAAATTAATAACGTCATTATAAAAAATAAAAAATCAGTGGCGCTACAACCTCTTTAAGTCTTGGCCTCAAATTTCTGAATCTGTTTCATGATCATTTTTAAATCAAGTAGGTGAACAGCCTCCAGTGTCTGACACACGCCGTCGACTTTTTGGGTCTAAGACATGTCGGTTTTCACGATGTTTTCCTTCACCGTTCGAGCAAATGTTAAGCGCACATATACAGAAAGTCCATTGGTACACAGCCGGGGATCGAATCTACGATCTCAGGGATGAGAGTCGCACGCTGAAGCCTCTAGGCCGACACTGTCCTCATCATTATTACCAACAAATAAACTAACCTTAATTTATTACTATATATGTACATACTTTGAGTATACTATGATATAAATGTAAATAGTTTCCGCATTGGGGTAAACTGTAATGGTAGCTCATTTTGTTAAAATTAAAATAATATTAAAATTAATTACTACTAAATAAGAATAATATTAAAAAAAATGTGAGCCTTGACACCATAACACCTCAACAATGAAGCAATATTAGCTTCGCTTACACTTATAAGTTAATTAAATTAATGAATAATTATAATTAAATTATAACTTTAGTTAGTTTAAGAATATATGTAGTCATATTGATATTTTATAGTGCTAAGGATAAGGAAAACATACAATAGCTGTTTGGGGTATATTGTAAGTTTAGGGTTTGTTTTTACTTTTTTTTTTAAAGAACAGGGGGCAAACGGGCAGGAGGCTCACCTCATGTTAAGTGATACCGCCGCCCATGGACACTCTCAATGCCAGAGGGCTCGCGAGACTTTGACATGTGTGACACAAACTAATAATTACTTGCACTATAAAAAAAGCCTAATAATAAGTATTACTGATTGAAAATAATCTATTCACGGTTTCTATGAAAACCAATTATAATAAATAATTTACCTGTGAATCCTCAAGCCGATCTAACTTAGCCGGATGCGGCGCTTTCGGTCTCGGTTGCGGCGTAGGCGCATCATTCTGGAGGAGATTGACTAATAGGGGCGAAGACATGGCGACAGTGGGGGCAGATGTAGGGGTCGGGGGCGTAGGAGCGGGATAGGGAGGCGGCGGGCCAGGAAAGGACGACGTGGAGGGCCGCACGAATTGCCCCTCTGTTGAACTTCCCCGAAGAGGAGTAGCCGTTAGACCTGGAATTATTATCAATTTATTAACTAGGGATAAAATTATACCGTGATTGGTGGTGAAGCTCAATGTTATTTAAATATTTTTTTTAATTGATTTATCTGGTTGAAGTAAGTGGATTTGAGAACTGGCACTAAATGTAAAGGTAGAAGCATTTCATATACATTTCTTTTTTTTTTAAAGTTCATAAGTGTACATTGTGTTACCTATATGACTAAATGATTTTGACAATTGACTTTTTGACTTTTTCAATTCGCCAGATACTAAAAATGAATACTGTTAATTCTAAAAACTAGTCCTATTTCATTGTTTTAAGTTACATAAGTGCTTTGGTTAGGGCAATGTAATAAAGTTTTTTTTAGGTACAAGACATATTTAATATTATTACAAAAACAAACAAAAAGTATATCCTATATGTGAAGGTATAGCGGCAGAGATCCTAGGCTCATTTCCAGGCGAAAAAAGAATGACATATTTATTTTTTATACACTAATGTATATGTCATCATCATCATATAAAATGTGTAAGACCATAGGGTGAAGACAGTGAAATACTGTAAAATATTAAATAAAAACCTGTAGATTTTTTAAAAGTTAAATACTGACTTTAAGTAGCTAATATTAATAGCTCTAAAATGACCTAATGAAGATTAACCTGCCCACGGGTTACTTGAATCATACCTAACGTATTCTCCTTGCGGTGTATGACCCTGGCCTGCGTCATACTGCCAAAGGGGAATTCACAGCGATCGGTCGGCGTGGGAATGTTCTGCGGTATTTTGCCGTCCATGGGGCACACGGTGTTCGGGGACTTGAAGTTCTCCCGCGGGGGCGTGGCTTCGGTGCTCGTAGAAGCCCCATCGTCGGCCAAAAGGCGGCCTATGCCACCCAAGTTCGAGAGAAGCTCGTTAGATTGCGATCTCGATGTACCCGCATCTGGAAAATATTTTATTCTATTAATTATTGCAATAAAGTTAATTCTTAAACAGTCTAAGAAATACTATGCTTTTTTGTTTGTAATGAATCAGACCTTTCATCTTTCAACTTGCATAAATACATGAAATAATTGGAAGCTCCATAATAGGTTTTTTAACATTAAAAAATGGCTCTTAAAACTATTATTAAATATGTATTGATTATGCGTAGATTGTCCGACCACTATAATAAACTTTTATTCTCTTAATTAGTAGTCGCAAGTTTTGGGAGTCATAAAAACAATATCTTATCTGTAAAAAATAATTAAAGTGACACTAGATTAAGGGTCATGTATCAATATGGTATGGTCTATTAATGTGATAATACCATCAGCTTCAGTATTAATCCTAACTTCTGCGCCGTGCTGCAACCGTAGCGAGACGGCAGCATCTCCATCTAGCTGCACGGAGAGAATGCCCAACGCACGCAGTTGCGGAGCACCCGCCGCCGCCAACGCGCGCAAACGTGCCGCTGCCGCACGCGGCACCGACAGCGTTACGCGCACCGAGTTCCACGGCTCCACCTGTTCACAAAAAGATATGTGTTTACCAATTTTTACATAAATAAAGTTCTCAAAAAATAAAAATCTTGTTTAGAAACAACACTGCTCAATTTAATAACTATGTAAAGCGGCAGATAATATCTATTATTGTTTTTAAATTATCTTTGACTTTTATAGTATCTATATTAAAATAATACAAGCCATCCTGCATATTACAGTAGATTTATTTAAATTCTTCATTATTCCGGGAAGTTATGTTTTGTTAATAAAGTGTTATCACTTATCATTAATTTCGTAAAATAAATTTCATCATTACGTCTAAGTTTTTCATCAGTCTCCATTAGGCAGATGAACACCAATATAGTACCTTGTTGACTTTAAGCGTATGCGGATGAGGCTCGGCGAGAAGCTGCCGCAGTTCGCGCAGGAGCCGGCGTAGGCGCGCGGGAAAGCGCGGGTCGCGGAGGTCGCCCTCGCACGTAACGACCACGCCGCACGAGGCAGCGCACGCACCTAGCCCATCGCTGTCCGCTGCCATGCTGTGGATTACACAAGTAATCATTACTTCATGTTCGTAGATCATGAAGAGATGGAACTAGAAGCTAAATATTCTGACGCAGTACACAGTTGTGGTGGGAATCATAGGACAGACAGGAGACAGAGTTTGCAATAGCTATTATTTCCAAGATCAATTTAAAAAATGGTGTAGATTGTAATGTGTACTCTTGTAGTGTAATAATATATATGGCAGAATAAATCGAGACGTGGAAGAGTATAGATGTCTATTATTTACCTCGACACTTCAATGGGAAATAAGAATTCAATTCTATACTTCATTCTTTTACCATATTTTCTGTTCTCCTAAAGTGCTATCAAAGTAAGTTTGCGAGTTGTATTTAATATATTTTCATTTTGAATAAAGCTTTTATAATTTTTACTGCAGAGTGGTCTATTTACATATAAGTTATTAACATGGGACCTTAAATGTGTCTGTTTATATCAAAACAAATATTACATGGATTAGACTTAGACAAATAGTATGAATGTACATAATTATTAATAGTGCAGGTCTGAAACATACCTTTTGGGACAAAAATCTATAACTTATATTTATTATAGAATACAAAATAAAATTTTGGTGATTGGATTACATAATTATATTCATTCCCTGACTCCTGTGAGAAAAACTCAATTTGTTATCAAATATAAAAGAGACTCAAAACTTTTCTCTAGAGAATAATACTAAAATTCCAGATTATGTTAATAAAATTTTTAATGTTATGTTTTAATCCACAAATAACTTTTTAATATAAAAACAAGAACATAGCTGAAGGAAGTTGAATTCTAAATTGTGAGAAATAAAATTATTATAAAATAAATTATGAAAGTAAGACTTGTGTATGTAAATAGCCTAGTCATTATGAAAAGTAGATTAATTATATTTGATGTTTAATTAATTTAACTGTTACATTCTAATGATAAATCTTTGCATTGTGTTATGTAATGAATCAGCGTAATTACTATATTGTAAATATCATATACTATTCCTGAATGATATTGATTAAAATAATGTTTATTTTATATAGTAAAAATATATACTAAACAAATAATTAAAAGTTCCAAGAGTTATACAACTTGAAACAAATTTGATAAGTTTTTATAAACTTCACTAAAATTATACTTTAGTATAAGAATTTTAAGTTTATAATTAATTTCAATAATTTTTAACAGTTAAAGAGCACAGCCAATATTGATACAATTTGATTGTGAGATAAACAACACTGGGAAAATAATATCCGATTGAAATTATCAGCTTTTTTTAGTTATGCAAATGTAAAGTAAACATTCTAACAATAACAATAATGTAAATTTTAAGTAAGAAGTATATTATAATACAACAAAACATCAATGCTTGTGTACAAAATAGTATATTGAAAATTTAGGTCAAAGGTTTAATCTTTGTAAAATAGTTATTATGTTTAGTTTTTAATTAATACAAACAGTGCCCTATTCATAGTATGAATGAATATTATTTCCATTCATGTCTTATGTAATATGAAAACTTTAAATTCTATTAACTTGTTCAGTATCAGTTCAGTTTCACTCAGTAATGCTAAAGTTTTCTTATACATATTTGTAGATGCACAATAGTTGTTTTTTAATTCCTTGAATGTATTTTCATAGATATGAATGATTATTTTAAAGTTATAATGTTTTAATTTGAAAAAAAGCGTGCCTTTAGAATGAAACATATATTTTTTTATAATTTCTATGGTGTATTTATTGAATGTAAACTATCTAACATTTTACTATTACTGTATCTATTGTCCTGTCTTAAGTTTTGTTGAAATGATGGACTACACTCTGATAAGATTCAGTAATTTGAATACAGCACATATTTATTGTCTAATAGTTACTTAAAAAACAATAATCCCTTAACTATAAATATGTTGCAATTGTATGGAAAATATTATTTGAAATTATAAATTTAATTTTATGTTATTGTGATATGATGTGATAATATTTGTAAATAAATATTTATTTTCTAACATAGGTTAGAAAAACCATTAAAGATAAATCAAAATCTAGTAAGACAAAATAATATTTGTTGTATAATAGAAATTGTATGTAAAATTTAAATGAACCATATAAGTTTATAAAGAGTTAGTTTTCGTAAGGAATATTCCTTCTTTTTTCACGGCAAGGTCGGAAAAACACGGACGTATGTTACACAACGTTTATTATAACGTGTTTACGTGTTTTGTTCGATATCAATAAATAATTAGGCGAGACGGGTCAGCCTCGGCATGCACGTTCGCGGGACGCATCCGACGGCCGCCTCTACAACCCCCAATGTATCCATCTTGTTCCAACACCGCACAATTGCGCGATCAACAAAATGTAAATAAACGAAATACTATCACTCACCTATCATACAATGTCACATTCCGCTCAATATCACTAAATTTCTATTCTCTTGTGTTCCAAATCATCCTCGAAAAGCAAGCTCAACATTACAATCCGGCTCGCAAGGCAATATCGGTTCTATGGTCACTCAGTGTCCACTACTGCCAAAACATATGATACGCTACTTTTGTGCTGTCCTTGCCTTCTTATGGACACTGTTTGTCACTTTAATTAAACTTTTCACATCGAACCACACGACTACAAGCCGGGGTTTCTCTCCTTCAATCAAATCCACTGATTTATATTCCAGTGACGCAAAGCTCATATATCGTGAAGAGCAGCAGCCATTTTGAAATGTACAGGGAGTACAGTCACGGCATGGAACATTGGATAATTGCAGACGTTCTCGTAATGTATAGCAATTCTAACACGAATTGTTAACTAATAAACTTAATGCTAAATCCATTTCTACACATCAGGTCACAAAACTCCACTCGGTTTTATTATTGAAACTATCCAAAACAACCTAAGCGACGTCCGATACTTCTAGCTTACCCCATTTGCATGACACACATAGATTTCGAAAAAAAACACTCAAAATACATAAAAACGCACATAAATAGTATCGCGCCGTATAATTGAAGGTTATCACATCCGATCAGAATAATAGTTCAATAGAAAAATCCGTAAAAAGATCAGTAAATATTTTACAAATAGTTAATCGGTACGAACAATAACAACGGACGCCATTTGCAATTTTCAACTTGACATGCGCATTGATTCAAAGACGACAAACATAGACTCAAACATTGTAAGGACGTCATATACATAATTACTCTAATATTCATTATTAAATTGAGTAATCAAACAAATACAAACACATTTCACTAGAATTTATAAATTATTTTTTTATTATATTTATACCTATAATTATTTATTTACGTTGTCCAGATCACGTAAATAGTTTTTCTCTTATTAAACGTTTTATTTATCAGACGTTTACACAATGTTCTGTTTATCACATTCATGCTTCAATGAAGGCTCCACAGGATTGGTCCATATAATAATCTTTGAGTTTTTGTAACATTTATGCGATTTGTTATTGGCTGATAAACAAAACGTGTGACACGATTCACTTCCGTTATTTGAGTTGAGTTATAATATAATTTTAATATTTTATTACTACCAATATATGTAATAGCCACAGAATTAAAGCCATAATTGTGATTAACAATACATTTATTTCATAGTTTAACCAAATTTAATAAATTATTTTCCTGGTACATTATCCTTTAAAATTTCCTTGGGGACAGCTTGAAACAAACCTTTTCTTGCCATTTCATCTGCCCAATCTTCAAACTCTCCTCTCCTGAAGAATAATTAAACACATAGTTAATCAAATCAAAATGTTGGTTTTTCATTCTTTTTTTATCTTTCACAGAAAATTTGTAAAGCCAACTTTTATAAGCATAAAATCTCAAGGACTTAATTCTAGGGTACCCTGCGTATGATTCGCGGTAAGCGGCATAGCACTTACAACTTATTTAAAATCTAATTTGTACATACTTCTCATGCTCCGCAAAAAAGCAATAATATTGTCAAATCAAGTTTGTCAATTTGTTTTAAATATTTCTCAATATTATTGCCAATATTTACTAATTTTAAAGGTCAGTACGAATATCCGATCTAGGGATATGGAAAAAAAAAAAGTCATATTGGAGGAAAGAAAAAAAAACTTAAAAAAAAAAAAAAAAAAAAAAAAAAAAAAAAAAAAAAAAAAAAAAAAAAAAAAAAGAGAAATATTTTTTTTTTTTTTTTTGGGGGGGGGGGGGGGGGGGAAAAAAAAAAAAAAAAGAAAAAAAAAAACCCCCAAAAAAAAAAAAAAAACAAAATATTTTTATATAAGGGGGGGAAATTCCCCCCCCCCCCCCCCCCCCCCCCACCTCCCCACCCCCCCCCCCCCCCCCCCCAAAAAAAAAAAAAAAAAAAAAAAAAAAAAAAAAAAAAAAAAAAAAAAAAAAAAAAAAAAAAAAAAAAAAAAAAAAAAAAAAAAAAAAAAAGAGGGGGGGGGCCCCCCCCCCCCCAAAAAAAAAAAAAAACCCCCCCCCCCCCCCCAAAAGGCAGGGAAAATACAAAAAAACAGGAAAAAGGAAAAAAAAAAAAAAAAAAAAAAAAACCGGCCGCCCCCCACAAAAAAAAAAAAAAAAAAAAAATTTTATTTTAATTATATTTGTGGGGGGGCGACTAGCCATTGCATAAAATACGATAACCGTTATTGAGCTTAAAATATTTTTGGCAAACGTTACCCGCTAATAGTAAATCGAAAAGTGTGGGATTGACCACAGATTTAGTATGAAAATAATACACGCTTTTCGATTGTCAGTTGAAACTACTTTTCGTTAAAATAATACAAAATCCTAGTATAGTATACAGTCATATTAAGTTTTTAATATTATATTAACTTTATATACTGCAGATACAATAATTTGGTTCACCTTTTTAAGAAATGTCATCATTGGTTAAAATCATAAAAGAGTATATATGTCAAGTGTCAGGGTGAAAAGCAAACTCCAAATATGCCAAAATCCAAATTAATCTAAAATCTAAATGGATATTGGTTCAACTTAATACTTAATATGAACTGGATTTTTTTTACTGTATGAAATTGATTTCAGTGTGTAGAAAGTATCAATTTCGAGAAAAGGATTTTTATGTTTTATCTATTTCACTATATTATCGCTAACATTGTAGTAAACTACAATCAAATTTTAGAATTTCTAAGTAAAAACAAAACATATTACTTTATTTGAAACAGAAGCGAATTTGATTCCGAAATCGAGGTAAGATCTTTCTCAAGTATTTCACAAATTTTATCAGATTTGTTTTGATAAGCATATGCATAGCAAAAGAGATTGCCATTAAAGAATGGCAAAACACTTTGCACCATTCCTTTCTTTTCGTTAACAATATAGGTATTATGTTATCTCACTATTTATTTTACTACAACTGAGATGAACCATTTATATAAATTTTTGGCAAAACCTGTGGTATAAAATTATTTTCCACAAGTAGTAATAAGTTTTATTAAAATATAACTTACGCGTAATATTCCTTATAAGCGGCACGTCTTGGTCTCCCTAAGAAGAAGTAAACACATGCTCCAGCACAACAACTACAAAATAATGCTTGAAAAATAATTGATTGAGTTTGTGCCCAGTGAAGTCCACGCATTACAGGCTTAGGATGGCATGGTGGTTTAGGAGGTGGGGGTGGACAAATCTGAGCACATGGATCAGGAGTTTTTGGTGGACATGATGCCATTTTTCTGAAATGTTAAATGAATTCTTTTTAATTTTTTACCTTTAATATTTTGGTATGCTTTTTAATACAAAATGTACATTTATTTTCATACAGAATTCATCACAATGGCTCAGAGTTCACATGGAGGAAGTCACAGACGAAGTAGGGATCATGAAAGTTCTATGAGATATACTAATACTGACTGGGAAGCTAAGGAAGCACTGTATCAGCGAGAATTAGATGAAGCTCGAGCAAGAGCAACGCAAATGGAGAAAACAATGCGCTGGTGGTCTGATTGCACTGCCAATTGGAGAGAGAAATGGAGTAAAGTTCGTAATGAGCGAAACAAAGCCAGGGAGGAATCAAAACAATTAAAAACAAAAGTAGACATAATTACAAAAGAATTAAATTTAATAAAAACAGACAAAAATGATTTAGAACAGCAAATACAAGTCCTGAAATTGGACAATGAAAAATTACTTAGTCTTGGGGAACGTAGGATTGTTTCGTGTGACTTATCAACAGAAGATGGTGTTGAGTTAAGAAAAAAATGTGCTATTACAAGTCCAAATGAATCAGCCAAACAAAGAGCTTCCCTAGATTCTCACAAATTCTCCAATGTTGATAATGTCCTTGCAAACAAATTAGGTGAGATGAGAATACGTTTGGATGAAACCTTCAAGAATCTACAAACTGAAAAAGATCAAAAATCTTTTTTACTATCAAAGATTGAAACCTTGACAGCTGAGTTAAATAGTGCCAAAATGGAGTTAGCGCATAGTGATAGAACTGTAGGTTCAACTGATTCTAGTCATAGTGAAATTGAGAGGCTACAAAATGAACTACAGGATGAAGTCGCTGCGAAACAAGTCCTAGAAGAGAAAATTGCTGAACTTAAAATGGAGCTAGAAAGGCTAAAATCAGAAAATACTATACAGTGGAGCAAACGTGAACTATTAGAAACTGAAAACATAGCTATATTGAGAGAAAATAAAAAATTATATAGCCAAATTTGTGAATTGAGAGAGCAAATTCACAAACTCAATAGAATATCAGATGGGAGTATTTATGGTGTACCATATAATGATCATAATAAATTAGATTCAAATGTGTTGTACATCAGGAAGAGCAGTGTTAGCCCAAGATCCCATGAGTCGAGTAATGCCTCTTCAGAGGCCATTGCTGACGCGAAAACGAACACGTCAGGAGAGGACGACGAATTGGCGATAATTGAAAGAAATTAAGAACACTAATAATATTGTAGCTAAAAAGTAAATCTTTTACCTATTTTGAAACTTCTCTTGGTTGACTTAGATGAAGTTTTATCTGTCAGTGTGTTATTTTTTTTGTATTTCATTTCATAATTTTGAAGTAGGTAAGTATTTAATAGTTTATTTAACTATTTATTATAAAATCTGATAATTTTGTATCAATGTGATGAAAAGGTATAAACTGCATTTAGTTCATTTTCACAGTAATTAGACATTCCTGATACAATCTTAAGACATGTTGGCTATATTACCTTCATAGAAACTAGAAAGATACTAACTACCATTACCATGGACATGTTATTGGCAACTAATATACCCATATTTAAAATGTGACAGCTCTAAATGTAAGTATGGCCACTTAATTCTCCATCTATTTATGTCACAGTAAATCGAAAATATTTTTTGTTGGTTAGTAATTCTAGATAAAATATATATTTTAACTGACTGAGTGGTATTAGTGTTTAGCCAATTATATCAAATTGCAAGCTATTCGAAATAATTTCGAGTATTGTAATCATTGGGTTTGTAGAAAATTAAAGTAACAAGAATACTCAAATATAATAATAATTATTAAAGACTTAGTATGTTTGCACTTATGCAAATCACGGGCGATGGTGGCGATTCGGTCATGGGTTGCATCTGTGCAAAATTACGGTAGATGACAAATGTTAATAATTGTGATAGTCTAGTTTTATAGCTGTTTTCTTGTAGACGGACGAATTGTGTGGTTCTGTCTTCTCTTAATGTATTATAAAAAGCAATATTGCAATACTTTACATTTATGCTTAAGTTAAAATGCATTTTAACGTGTACATATTTTTATTTCACTAGAATTGTTTAAAAAAAGTAGACGCATCTGCGCATTTAAAATGTTTAATAACGTTTTATCTCAAACATATGAATAAAAAATGGAAATATTATCCATAAATAATAGACTAAAAATTTAAACTTTTTATAAAAATAGCTTGATCTATAAATTACAAGCCCTTCCAAAATATTTTAGTACGTTCTCTTAAGATAATTTGTTTATATTTAGTTGTAATTGCCTAATTTCGACGAATTTTGATACACTATTTAATTGTTTTAATATGTATAAATAAAAGAATGTGAACTTCTAAATAGTTTAATTTTTCCTTATTGATTCACACATATCACGACTATTTGCCTCGGCGAGGTATTGTATCTAAGAAATCTAAAAGACCGATTTTTTAACAAAACCGTTATGTTCCTGAAACTGACTCGTTCATCCGAAAGACTTGAAATGTGCCTGCCCCATACAGGGGCTATGGGACTTCATAGTTCATACATACCCTATGAATTGAATCCTTCTACATAAAAGGTAACTTAGTATATATTTTTGAAGTTATGAAAAATTTTGAGAGTGAAATTTTACGATGCGCGCGCACCGTGACACAAAATTATCAGTATGGGCGCCGAGCGTGCGCGAGCGAGATGGGAATAAGACAATCTACAAGTAAAAAGAAATAGAATATGCGTGACGTTAGCAGCTATGCCAAGAATTTTGAATGACCATAATGACATTTGTAGTACCTTTTAAACAAATAAAGGAGTTTTAATTATTTTTTCAAAGAAATTTAGCAATGCTTTTTCACAAAGACCTATTGTTACTTAGTTAAAAGGTTATGAAACATACCTAGTTATTAAAATGAAATAATAATTATTATTACTATTAATTAATAATTTAATAATATACTAAATATTAAATATTGTTAAATTATTAACGCTAAATATTTATTATTAATTATTTAATATTTTAAAAATATAAAGAAAGCCAAAGAAGTATAACTTCTTACGCGCGTACATAAGTACACGCACCATTTTTTTAAATTTATAATGTAGCATTGCATGCATGACAACATATATATGGTAACCATATAATATCTTATATGTGCGGGAAAGAACCGGCGTGGCATATATCTTAATATATATATTTCTTCTGTGCGTGTGTATGTGACTGAACTCCTCCTAAACGACTGGACCGATTTTGATGAAATTTTTTGTGTGTGTTCAAGGGGATCTGGGAATGGTTTAGATTCACAAATCAGCCCGGCAGATGGCACTGCAGTCGGTACTTTCATACTTTGCTTAATATCCTAATCGCTTTAAATATCATGCAGGACAACGTCTGTGGGGTCCACTAGTATATATATATATATAAGCATTTATTCCAAAAAAATACTTTTAATTTTTTTCATATTGAGTATCAAGGGGATTATTGTCGAACTATAATGACGTAACAGTGTTTTCATAACAAAAAAAGTACTTGAGCTCCGTTGCGACCTAATTCCATGAGGGTTCGCACAGACTAGCAAAAGGGAAAGAAATAAAACCACATAACATAAAATCTATAAATTTTTTACATAATAATATAAAAAATTTATAGATTTTTATTAATACATAACAGTTGATAAATATTTATTCCGCTGATTTAATAACGTCACTAATTACTTTGTGAACTGGTATACTTGAATCTATAGCATAATCTATAACTTCTATTTCGCATTCTGTTTCGCCATTTATAGAATGAACTATCGCTGGTATCACATCTATAATTTCTTTGTTTGTCTTCTCGTTACTAGAGATTTTCTCTTTTGCTTTTCTTTTAGCCGTTCCCGGATTGGTACTTTTAATTGTTTTTGATACTTTGTCAGGTACTTCATTAACTTCTTTATTTTTTCTTTTTCTATTTCTCTCGTCTGTATTATCCTTTCTAGTTTCAGTGTCATTCACGTAACCTTCAATTTCTTTGAGACTCAGATCACGTTGAAGCGATTCCATTTCTTCGCTTTCCATTTTATTTAAAATAACAGTGTTTCTTTTTCCAAATTTTGCCACTTTAGAATTATGCAATCGGGAGAAGAATGATGCAGATGATATTGATTTATTGGTGCACATTTGTGCAGATGTTTTTTGAGGAGATTTATTTGCATTAGTTTTTGATGGAAGGTTTTCATTCCTGAAAATGTATACATAAGTAAGCTATATATTGACCAAACATTACAACAAAGTGTTGTGTGTGTGTGAAGGTACAAGTTCAAAACGTAAGATTAAAATATCTATATTATAATTTATATATTTGTAATGAATAAACTAAAATACGAGGCAAATTTAAAAATTCATACAACACTTGAACACTTTCCTAAGGCTATATTTATCCAAATTAAAAATAATATAGATAATGTTTAGCTTTTAAATATTTAAAAGTGACAAATAGTACGCAAGAACATAGTGTTTCCAATTCCTAGAGACTGTATGAACTGTTATTGATCACTTTATGTTAAATATCCTTTTTAGTATATTTAGTTAGACTTAAATTACTTTTTAGTCTTAAGTTAGGCTAGATCGTGACGTGCTATGATGTCTCAGTGAAGAGACCAGCATTAAAACAATATTTTATTTAAATAACCTACTAGGTTTAAATAACAAGTAAAAACATAATAATATCGAGTTAACTATATAGATGATTTGACAGCACGAAAACTATGGTTTTGTTGAGAGTATTTTTTATAATATATAAAATATATATATATTTTTTAATTTTTTTTTCTTTCTTTTTTTTCTTTTTTTTTCTTCTTTTATGAGGGTAAAATTTTACGGATCGTCACGAAGTTGTGCAGCGTTTTTGTCGAAGGGAGAGAGCGATTGAGAAAGAGTGAGAAGGGTGAATTACCTAATAGAAATTCTATTTTCTAAATTAAAATTTCGTAAAGAGAATTTATAAAATATTAGTGTTTTATATTATGCAAAATAATTTATTGAAATCTCAAATGACGAACAGTAAATTAAAATGCCCCGTGTTCTTCGATAATAAAAAGGTGTTGTTATTATCGAAGAAATACATTTAAAAAATTTTATTTATAATTTGTATTAATTTTCGACACTTTTACTATTTTAATGACAATTAAATACATTAAATTCCTAACATATCTTTATATCCCTGAGGTAGGGAATCCCTCAAGTCTCGGGAATCTAAAGTTTTAGATTTGTATAAATATGAACAAGAGTTAAAAGTTTGCCAAAGAAGTTTCACTTCTGACATGTGTACTTTGTACGCACGCACTTTTTTTTACTTTACTTTGTATTATAATGATAATTTAGTGATAATAATTCAATCCAATTCATAAAAGTATGCAATTTTAATCAATGTTTTCTTATGGCGTTATCACGGGAAATTATTGTCCGTAAACCGACTTAACAGACAACCAAATTTTTTTATTACTGGAACAGATGCAAATATCTATTGCATAGGGTAGTACGAGATCTAAATTTTCTGTATTTATATCAATAACAAATATTGTTAATACCGATAGGTTAAATTAAAATATTCTCCCAAACTGGACCATACCTTTCCTGTGACGTCATTAGATAATGAAGTTGATCAGCCGTATTAGTCATTGCTCGTTGTTTTATTTCGGTCATCGCCTCAGACCTATTTTTGGCGTCTGAAAAACAAGATCGTAAAGTCAGCACAATTTGGGTGTTCATCACGTACAATGTTGATTTTGGGGCAGTACAGAATTTAAAAAAATTAACGATTAAAAAGTATATAAACAATGTCACCATAACTTAAGTGACATATTCAAATATTATTAAGAACAATAAACCCACATATAGTATATATGGCGGATTTTTTTAATGTAAAACATTAATTTTGAATTCATTTAAAAATGTTAATCAATTTGTAGGTAACAAAATATGGTTAACGGTTAACATGAAATGCATAAATAATGTTTTAGAAACGTCAACATTTTTATATAAATAAAAATTAATATAAATATGTTGCTAAGCGCAAAATTCGAGTATTTTTTTAAATTTTATTAAACTATGAGGAAAGTTTTTATGGAGATTAGAAAAACATCACAAAAAAAACCGAAAAAGCAGTTTTCGTAGACTAAGTATAAAATCATTTTAAGACGAAGTTTGTGCAACTAGTAACAAAAACCTTAATGGTAATTAATTGTCTTTTTTTACTATTTTAACATTATACAGGATGTCTCAAAAAAGAGTGTCAATAACCCCTAATTAAAATACTTAAAAATTAAAAGAACATTTTTCTAAATTTTTTAAATGCTTTAACAATACAATGTACATCTTCTTCTAATAAAATATTCATGCTTTTCTTTTTTTTTGCATCTGTAGGTTTTATGTTTATGTCAAATAGGCTAATGTTTAATATAAGAGAGCTAAGTTACCATTATATGGTGTAAAGTACTGGAAAGTCGAAAATAATATTAACAATAACGCGTAATTCAATTCTCGCCCCGCATCGTAACGTTTTACAAAAGGACTCCCCCCAAATTCGTTACGTATTACTTGAACTCTCCAACTTGAATACACAATTGTCTATCATCAAAAATTATCTAAAAAGCAGAAATGAAAAAAAACTACAAAACATGGTAGTACATACATTCAGTGTTCAGTGCTGATACCACCTAGCACTCTTGACACTCTTTCTGAACACCTGTATAATCATTTTCCACACCTGTATAAAATATATGCTTACCATCATTATCAAAATAGCCTTTCACCAGTCTCTTAAACGACGTCGACAGTTGAGAAGGCAAATTGGGATTTACGTATTTCAGACCAGCTTTTATATTATCTAAAAATATTAATTTTATTAACAAAAGTATATGACTATTATTTATATTTTATTCTCAATTTTTGCAAATAATTTGAACTACAGAGATTGGCTTCAGCAAGCGACTCTCATCCCTAAGTTCGGTCAACGGCCTTGCACCAATCGACTTTCTTTCTACGCATTTAACATTCGCTCAAACGCTGAAGGAAAACATCTTGAGGTCTAAGGCAGCTTGCATAAAGTGGCAAAAAGTCGACGGCGTGTCAGGCACAGGTGATCACCTCCTATTATATTAACAAATGATGAAACAGACACAGATCTGAAGCCCAAACAGGGTTGTTACGCCACTGGGATTTTTTTCTACATCATATAAGATAATTAAAATATGAAATATATCTACGAACAAAATTAAAAATAATTAATCTATAGATAAAATTAATATAATTTAAATTAGTTCTTATTTAAAGGTACGTGGCCAGTCTTTGCGCCCCTATTAAAAACTCAAGACAAAAAACAATTACAAACAGTGACGGTACTCCGTAGCTTCCAACAGCGATATCCCTGCGTCCTTATAAATATACGTAGATACCATCCGTATCAGCTCAACGTCCGTCGTTCCACAACTGAGCGTTTCTTAAGGCAGTTTTTTCCACGCACCATGTGGAACCGACTGCCCAATCAAATATTTACGAACCAATTCGACTCAGGGTCCTTCAAGAAAAGAGCGTACCAGTTTTTAAAAGGCCAGCAACGCACTTGCGAGGCTTCTGGCAGTGTCCATGGTCGGCGATATTACATAATATCAGATGAGCTTCTCAGGTTTGGCTCCTGATACATAAAAAACCTGGAAAACGCAACATTGGAATCGCAATAACTTCTGGAAGTTACAGAGCACCAGGGCAGTCGTACTTACCATTCAATCGATCTCTGCACTGAGTGTATTTCCTGGCAATCGTACCCAATTCCATTAACATATCAGGCTCTTCATTTTGATCGCCGAAAATTCCTGCTGTACCCATATGTTTATTCTTCATAACCACTGAGCCTACAGGAAAATTGCATACAAACATATATACTTTATCAAATCTGTAATTTGCTTGTCTTTATAATTCATTGACGCGAGGTCCGAATTAAAAAGAATTTTTTTTTGTCAATAACGCGCGTTGGTCCGCGTAGATGAGAGTCAAGATGAGTTCCTATAAGTACCAAGCCGACTCTCTTTCCGCACAAATTAGTCTATTTATGGGGGAGGGAAGGCGTCACGCCAAGTAAAAAGACCTCCGGAGAGTCTTTTTGCTAGTACCCATTTCTGAAAAAAAGCCCCGTAGGAGGCCCCGACATGTCCTAACGAATCCATATGATCCAATTAAGCTAATGACAAATAAAATCCCACCCGCGCAGCAATGAAACGTCATAATCAGATTAGGGTAAAAATCCGCCTTCACCGTGGAAGGCGTGGTCCTTTACTACGTACTTCAAAACCTTCAAGTCCTTTTCTACGTATGCAAATATTATATAAGTAAAGGTCCTTAACTAAAAAAGAAATATGGCGCTTCACAAAATCCTTTTTATCGTAATGCGCATAATGCAATTCATTATTAAAGAAGTTTAATAAACATTTTGAAGACAATTGCCCTTGAAAAATTAAAATTAATAAACTTCACAGCCTTCCTGAATTAATTAAAATTGAATATTCAACTAACTAAAATGTAAAACGTTTTTACCTTTTTTTATTTCACAGAATACATTTACAATAGTAAAAGATTATTTAATTTGTGGTTTATAGTAATGTAACAGCAGTTCCCGAGAAACGCTCGGTCACACATACTCTTTAGCTATATTAATATACATTATAGAAGTATTTAAATTATTTTTACATCTAGAATAATACGTATAAATAATACGCTTCCTGTTAAGAGAATAACTATGTAACTACATAACGATATTTTTTTAACCTTTCTTTAACTTCCAAGTGAACTCATTAATTGGAATGAGTTCACATGAACTTCATAAAAATGTCAATTTTAATGTCGGGATCATGATCAGTATTAAAATGTTTTATTGTCTTACCATTAAAATATTTAATCAAGGTGGTATCAAATCCCCTTTCACGCTCCGCAGCTGTGTACCTTGAGTGCTTAACCAATACTCGACCAAGAATAAGTAACGCATCGTTTAACCTGCAAGCGCCACATCATTATGTTATGTCGTTATTGTACGAAGGTCCAAACGGCTAAGAGGCATAGCTCTGTGGCTCTATACAAAACCCCTGGGTATTGGTTTGTGGACTTAGTTTCCGCACTTAGACCCTCAATAGGCCAGCCTAACTCCTTCAAAAAGCACAGAAGCCTCCTGGGCACTTCTCAGGCTTCAGGAGCGACCTCACTGTTCCGAGGATTTCTGCACGTTGTTTAGCTACAGCCAGGACTCCGTGGGTGATTGATTCCACTGCGATGAAACAGCCTCTTCACATGAGGCTGTCTGTCGCGCCTAGACAAAATCCCTTGGCGACACGCTTGACTAACTATCGCCAAACGAATTTGTATAGCAATAACATTGGCTCACAGTTGACCACGTGACCATTTCCATACCATCCGTTTAGCTTTAGCAGGTCACGCCTGCAAAAGCTAAACAACGTAAAGTATTTTATGTCTAATATGTAATGTTAAATCTTTCTATATTTTAATACCAAGTTTGACTTCGAGCGTCTTGGAATACAATTAAGCCCCGAATCTTATAGTATGATTATAAATGAAGGGAGTCAGTACTTGGGAACTCTTTGTTAATGAGCTCATGACTTAGGAATGCACACAGCAAAGCAATTCATAGATTATAGCACAATGAATGGTGGCAATCTATTCAAGTTCAGAATGGCAAAACTATTTAAATTTGTCTACTCTTGGAAAATTTTATAATTCATTGTGGTGAAATATAGATGTACATGAATAGGTTTAAACCAGTCTTCAAGTACAAGTTATATCATAATTGAAAAAACTAAAAATATCATATCCGGCTCGAAGGACCACGAAACTGTTTTAATTTTGCCTAGCAAACCCTACAGGCTATTGATAAATGGTGAAATGTATGTATTATGTCAGATTAAAATGGCAAAATTTTGATCTATGTATTTCTGAAAGGTCTTTGAAATTGGGATATTTTCATTGCCAGAATTTTGAACCTATAATGATAAAGTTTGGATAATACATTTTTAAGTTTGTATCTAATTGAGTTGTGAAATCTTTTTTAAAGTACCTGTGATGTCGTATTGCATCTTCCAAGCGCTTTATTTCCGGTACATCCTCAGGGCATATAGGTAAATATGCAAAATTGGCAAAAGGCTGTTGTGTTACCAATGCATACACTATGAAGAGGCTTATCACAGATTCCTGAAAATATTTGTTAGTTTTTTTGTTTAATTTAATATAACTTATGTTACTTAGATTACATTTCATGTACAGAAAAAATATTTTTTATATTGTTTAAGGTGTTCATTTGCTTACAGAAAATTGAAAACATTTCCAATACACTATTTAGTTACATTTGCTGTGTTATGGTATTGTGATTAACATCCTACATACCATGCATCTTGAATTTACTTCTCAATTAAAGATTGATATTAAAAACCGCATGTTAGTTGAACACACAGGTACTTGTTTTATAATTCTAAGAGCTTATAAACTGCTTATATAGACAGAACAATCAAACCACTTTGCACCAATGGATAGTCAAATTCAAACTACGACCCCAGGGTTATATATCTAAAAGATTTTAGATTAAAATGCTCTATAGACCGAATTCTAAGTAAAATAAAATATATTTTACCTTGTAATTTCCTGTGTCCTGCACCATAAAACTCTTAGCAACAATGATCAATTCTTCAGAAAGCTCTGCAATTTCCGCACATGTTGTGAGTTCCCTGAGCAAAACATTCTACATGTAAGTAAGATTAAATAGGAATTAATTCTTTAAGGATCTATGCTATCTTATTCAAATAGTCCAGAGTTAGATCTCTTAAAATTTTATAGTCCAATATCAGTTGGTCATTCAGATAATATACAGCTAATGAGCGTCTAAGTGCAGAAACAGAGTCCACCAACCAAATACCATAACATAGTGCTATTACTGCAGATAATGTAAACTTAGCCATCAATAAATATACTAGTATATTCTTATAATTTTTTTAGTTAATGAAACAGAAGATAGAAAGGAAGAATGTTAAGCCTGATATACACAACTTATATAGGATACAATTGTAGTATACAATCCAGTTCTTTTTAGTTTTGACTCTGCCTATTAAACATTAGCTTCTTTTTGCAGTTCAAAAATCAAATTTAATATTTTAATGTGTTTCCAATAAATACAGTATATATTTTACCTGAAATATTATATTACATACCTATAGTAAAATAAATAGACGAATTGTCTTAGTGTGATTAGATGTAAAATAATTATGTATGGTGTCTTTAAATCTCAAGAGTTATATAAATTATACATACTGATACAAGCTCGGAAAGTGCATTTCTTTCCATACAGTGCAGAATGTTTGGAAATTTAATAAGTCTAATTTTAAACAACGCTGTATTAAATCCTCACAGTCCTCGGAAAAACCGTCTGCTATGTATATTCTAAATACATCAACTAATTGTGAAGTGTCTGAAAGTAAATAATTTAATATTAATCTTTATCGAGTGACTTTCTTTAAAAAATTACAAAACTGAAGCTAACGGGAATTTCTTTTTGAGCCTTAAATATTCAAATTATTTTTAAATTCACGTCCAAAGTTTCATATAAAAATCCATATTAAGCGTTTATTCAAATAAATATAAACTTACTGGACATATTGGTTTATATCCTTTGTTAAGTTACACATTAATTTAAAAAATTGTTTTGATGCTTCAGCTTGTGTTAAAAGATAAAAAAAACAAATAAAATAATTCTAACAAAACAACCATTAGGGATAAATTAAATATTAATATCATCATTGATCATTCATCATCAGACATCATCTTACAAAACAAAGTGTCAACTGTCAATTACGTAAAAAATAAAGACGCCACAGAGTACATAGAACTAAGGCTCAATACTCCCAGATAACTTATAAGTTGTATCTAGACGTCTTTATGATTATCTTATAGCTTTTTAGTTATATTTACAATAATATATAATGTTAGTGGTATATAACAAAATAATGTTTCTTTTGCATAAATTGGTTAATGTTTTAAACTGATAGTTTGTAAAAAAATGCCTTATTTCCTCAATTTCATCCATTACGCAGTTTCGTACATTTAGTAAATTTTTTTTTTTTTTTAAAGACAATTCACACCAATTATTGATCTAGTCCCATGCTAAGCTGGTGAAGCTTGTGTTATGGGTACTAGGCAACGGATATACATACATATTATAGATAGATATATAAATACATATTTAAACGCCCAAGACCTAAGCACAACACCAAATGCTCATCACATCGATGTTCGTCTCAGTCGGGGATCGAACCCGGGACCCATGGATTTGCAGTCAGGGGTACTAACCACTAGACCAATGAGTCGTCAAATCACATTAAATAAAAGGCGAATTATAGTAATAATACTTTAATAGCTACTACATACAATTAAACAACCATAACAACACAGTAGGTACCGAATGAAACACTGATATTTATGCTTACATATTTAATGATTTCTTTGATTCCGTTCAGTATCGGATCTAAATGACACTTTATAAAATCGCAGAACGATCATGTGCGCCGATCGATGCGTACATTGCAATTAATAAACACTACGAATTGTAACTAAAAATTGAATTTACAGAGGTGTTTTTTCGATCAATTTGTACCAGTGACCACACTCACAGCGGCGGGGATGTTCCTGTAAAAAAAATATTGTCAATTAAGATTTTGCTTAATTTTTATACAAATATTTCTATAACCAAGAAAGTGTGACATGCATTTTATTATTATTATATTACGAAGAACTAAAATAATCTGTACAGTATCATTCCCAACCATGAGGTAGTCAGATCTGTGCATCTTTTCTTTCTAAGAGTAGAATGAATTCTATTGCATACAGTGATAGAAGATATATATGTAAGGAAAGCAATGTCTTAAAAAATCAACAAACTGTATCAGCCTTCATGGAAGGTCTACTATTAATATGGTTAGTCGAAGAAATGTTAGATTAATCACCTTGTGCACCCAAAGCCAGTTGATACTTGTAGAGTGTTCTTCACCTGTAATAAAAAATATCATTGTTTTCTTTTAAAAAATATATTTAAAAATGTTATATTTTATTTATTTTTCTATAATACATCCTATATTATAAACAACAAAGGGACTTCTCAGTTATCTCTATATTTCCAGTAGATTACTTAGTTTGTTTTCCTATAATAACACAACTTTAGCTTAGATATAATAGTATAGTGAGACTTGATAATGTGAAACCAAATCTTGTAGTTATAACTCTTTTTAAATAGTTGCACATTGCGGTCAGTTGCGAAAAAAAATTATACATATTATTTTCCTTATATAAGAAGGAAGTTATGTACAATATTATTGCTAAACCTAAATTCATGTTATTGAAGCCTTTTTTTAATTTTATTCAGCTTCTTGTATATCATTATTGTCTTACATGCATTAACATACTCAATGTCATTAGGATTTTTTAATTTCTATATACATTCTAACTGAAAGGACTCTTGAAATTATTGTTTACTTACATATGCATCCAACAATACGAGCATCAAAGCAGGAAGGAACAAGTGTAGGGTTGTCACGGGTGCCAGCAGCCTTCTTCAGTACCTTCATGTTAAAAGGATCATCATTGCCTGACTGAAGAGCTACCAATTCTCTTTTTTCCAATCCAGTGGCATGTTCCATGGGGTCTACCATCACTGTAAATAAAATAAAATGTGTTTAATTTTTCACTTTTATTTTCTGCCTCCATGCCTCAGTTTGTTTAGCACGATACATTGTCTGAACACACATTTTAGGTCTAAGGGCTGTCGGTTTCCTCACTATATGAGTGAATGTTAAATAGACAGAAATAATGTTCATTGGTGCACATCTGTAATTCAAAAACCTTGACTCGAGTTTCTTAATCACTGCACATTAAAGTTGCAATTACAGTACAAATGAAAAAGTTTTGTTCATATTGGTCATAATATATACGAGAATACAATGCATTTTACACAAATATCTTGCATTTGATTCCAAGCTTAACAACAACTAATTTGGATAAGAAGATAACTGTATCTGTAGACTAATCAGAGCTTACTTATTGGGGAATTTTACAAATCTCAATAATTTACTATTTACAATTATCCTCTTGATTGATTAATAAAAATGGATATAACTGTAGATATATACAATAGATAATGAGTTTTTACTGTAATAAACCCACACAATATATTATACTCAATATAGGTGGAAAATGTAATTAACTAGAATTACTTGGCTAGATAAGATATAACCTAAAATACGATGAAGTTTTGTTTTTACTATTGACGTTACTGAATCAGAAAAGGGTGGGTAAAGATTACGTGGTATGGGAGTTCATTTTGCATTATATGTATGTAATAAATAATAAAACAATACAGGAAAACTGAGTGCCATGGGACCGATTAAAATAAATTTGCGCAATAACATTATATTTAATTTTCATTATAATAAAAATGATAACATCTTTTAAATGAACATTATTTTGGCATACTAAAATGTTAAATTAACTTAATTTTGGTTAGGATTCCGAAACTTTTTGAAATACAAATATCTTTGACATTACGTAACTTAATTCTGACAGGTAAGCCCATATATTTTTCATACAAAATTAGTTACTTTCTTACTTTTATCTGCGTATCCCCGTCGAGCAGACGAAAATAACACACTTTTGAGAGCATTTCCGCGGACAATTTGTCTACACAAGGAAGCCATTTCTATATTTTCTCACTACACCGCTTCTCACGATGGCAAGTGGAAGTTTGATAAGAACATAGAGATGTTTCCGAAATCGATCTTTTAGTCTGTACTCTGTAGTCTATGTTTAGTGTGTTATATCGAGTATCGAGCTATTTTGAAGAATACCGATATTTTTCTTAAACAGATAAATCCGTATCTATATAAGATTAATGTTTCTTACGATAATATAATAATATTTAAAATATTGTGATATTTTAATTATATTTGTTATTTTGTATGACATAAGTCATCAAAAAGTAACGCCTTTGTTCATTTCAGTTCGAGTTTCGCTGAACGATGGCAATAATTGGTCACCGTCAAATTGCGACCGCAATTTTCTATTTGGAATTAAACTTCGTTGCAAATTTAATGTTAGTTATTCTTTCACATTACATTTATTATATTAAGTTTTAGTACTCAAGTAACTATGGCTTACACAAATAATTAATAATATATAATCATTGTAATTAATAAATTAGTGATAAGAATGTCTCTGAAGATTGTACCTGTGGAATTTTGAGGTGACTAACTGTGTGACAAAAATAGAATTAATTAAATTAATTTTGTGACGTGATAATGTCTTATAAATCGATGAAAGCCGGCTGCACGCACGAAAAAACATGAGTCATAGTCACGTTCCGCTTGCACAAGCGAGAGCGCGCTACAAGCGATGGAGAGGTACGATAGGCCTAAGCATTCGGATTGTGACGCATTTATCTTAAGTTGTTAATAGCACATTATTAATTAAATAATCTGTATAATTTAAATGAAAAATAAAGTGCATACAAAGTACACATGTCAGAAATGAAACTTCTTTGTAAATTAATTATTACTAAAGTAAAAGCCCCAATAGATTATCATGTATCAATATATGATCACTGATCACTCCATGTATTTGTATATCTATTTTCACACTTATTAAGTGAGGGCCAGTGGCGAATCCCAAAAAAAACAAAATGTATTTAAATTACTTTAATTAATTACTAGTAAGTACAATAATTGAGACTTAACTAAATATAATTATTTAATTTTATAATTTTATCGGCCCGATATGAGGTGCACGTCAAATAATCTATATTATGGACTTATTACTAATTGAGAATTTGACCGGTCCGATGTGACGTATCAGATCAAAGCTCTTGGTATATTTTTTTGTAAGACATCTCGCTGAATGGGCGTTTTTCCCGCGGCTCGCGCAAGGGCGTCTCCTCTGAGACTCGGACCTCGGCTTGGGCTGTCGCGGGGTGGTCAATCGCCTGAAATGCAGGACGGAAGCTCACTGGAGTGAGCGAAGTACGCAGTAAAGGTCCTCACCTTCCCCGGTGAAGGCTGTTTTTTACCCTAATCTGATTTTGATTTTTTTTACTATTGGCCGCGCGCGCGGCTTTTAATTTGTCATTAGCTATCGTGATTGGATCGTCCGGATCCGTTAGAAAGTGTCGGGGCCTCCTACGAGCCTTTGTTGTCGGGAAGGGGTAGTAATTAATGCTTTACATCATACCAACGGGTTGGGATGATGTTTAGCCTTGTCGAAGTGTGGACGCCAACTTCATCCATTGGGCTATAGTAGGGAGGCTCTTGGTATCTGTTGACTGTTTTCTTTTATAATGGTGTTGCGTGAGAGGGGTACAGGTATTGGTAATGTGGGGCAAAGAGAGTGCAATGGATATTTAACATCTCCCCCGTAAGATGAGCAACTATTTGCTATTGATGTCTATAGCAAAAGTTGCGGCTCGAAGTTCTTGCGCAGACATGTTCTTATTATCCGTTTTGGAAATCGGTTTCAAAGATATATTTCGGCAATATCGGAGTACGAACAAAAGTGCAGCTGCGCTCAGGAGTGTGGTCACCGTGAAGTACAAAGGAATCGTTGTGTGGTATATTATATTTGATGAGTGATATGTTTCCGCAGGTGCTTTCGTCGTAATTCCATTTTGCATAAGTAGTTTCGTGATATCGATCGAATTTAGTTGGACACCTGGTTGATTTCGTTGAATAATGTTATCCATTCGAGGAAAATAAATGATTTCGACACCGCTTCCCTTGATTCGGTCGCCGATGTTGGTGTCCGTAGTTTCTGAGGATTTCAACATACATGATTTAGGTATTGTTGCGAAATAGCTGCCGTGAAGTATTTCATATTTTTCGTGGGAAGAGACGAGTTGAACTTTTGTAAGTTTTGGGAATGATATTATGTAATGCTCACTGTCTAGTTCCGTAAGCGTTTCTTTATACATAGTAATAGGCGTTGTGGAACAAGATTTGTCTATTTCTTGAGAATGAATAATTTCGTAGATGCAGTCTTTTTGATCTTCATCTGATGACGTAGTTTTTTCTCGCATATGTGCCACCTGTTGATCTTCGGAAATTCTGTCTCTATGTACCAACACAAATTCTTTAGAATCCAGTTGCTACGTATGGATAGGACGGAATAATTACCTGAGAATGCATATTAGGTACAGGACACAATTGATAAAATTGGAATATTGGAGGTAAGGTCATAGGAAAGCTAAGGACAACCACAATTTTCCTGTCTATACAATATGAACCTTAACTAATTATATCATAAAAGTTTCTTATCTCCAAATTTATAATTTGTTCTGTGTTATACAGATGTTTTTATTTTCCTAACATTTATTTTAAATCGTTAATATTTAATATAGAATGGTGCAATGACATAGTGCGACTAAAAGCTAATTTGTACATGCAACATAAACTAGATCTACGCATATTTTGTTATGATGGAATATCCTATTATAACAAATTTTAAACAATGCTCAAAATTCTTTGATGTCGCCGTCAGCTCTAGTCCAAAGTTAGTCGCGCCACGCGCGTACTTTTAGGCGTTTGTGTACTACGAATGCCGCATGTTGCTGCCGCGCACCTTGCACGCCGTGTTTGGTCACGCCCTTAGATGTAAAGTGCAAAGCACGAAGCAATGCGCGGATTTTAAAATCGCTAAACCATATTATGATGCTACATAATATGGTTATTACAATAAGTTTAATAGCGTGAGTTAACCCAGTTTAATTACACAAAAATTAAACTTAAGTTAGATAAAAAACAAATAGCATTAGGCATATTTGTTGATCTTAAAAAAGCCTTTGATACCGTCTCTCATGAACTTCTCTTAAAAAAACTTAACGATATTGGCGTAACAGGAACCGCATTAAAAGTATTTAGATCTTACCTTCTATCGATCTACCGCCAGCAAATAGTTAAGATAGGAACGTTTATGAGTGATGCTACTCCAATAAATTGTGGTGTGCCCCAAGGATCTATACTGGGGCCACTTTTATTTTTGATTTATATTAATGACATTAGCAACTTAGGGTTAAAGGGTGATGTTACGTTGTATGCAGATGACACAAGTTTGTTTTACTATGGTAGTAATATAGATACAATCGTGAAAGATGCACAAATTGATTTAAACTGCCTAAGTAATTGGTTAAAAATTAATTTACTCACTATCAATACAGAAAAAACAAATTATATAATTTTTGCGGCAAAAAATAAGAAAATATACGATTTTGTACCTCTTACTATTAATGGATGTAATATCATTAGAACAAATACTCAAAAATATCTTGGTGTTGTATTGGATAGTCGTTTAACTTGGAAGCCGACATTGACATAATTAAATCCAAACTATCTTCTATTCTTGGGTGCTGGTGGAGTGTGGTTGCTTCCCCAAAGTCAGTCCGACTCATTATATATAATATTATGGTAAAACCACATATAGACTACTTAATCGAACTATGGGGCACTGCAGCGCCTACAAATCGTTATAAAATACAAATTATGCAAAATAAATTATTGAAGACATTATTCTATTACGATTATTTGACTCCAACTGAAAAACTATTCAGTGATCCCAAATTTATGAGTATAAACCAGACATACGTTTACAATACCTCAATTTTAATATACAAAATTATTAACAAATTAATTCATATAAATCTATCCTTTACACAAAAATCAGATACAAAATATTCATTAAGAAATATTGATACATTATGTTTAATACAACCAAGGACTAATTACGGAAAACTTAATATTATGTATCAAGGCGCACAAATATTTAATACATTGCCACCCAGTTTAAAAGAAATAAAACCTTTTTACAAATTTAAAAAACTTTTAAAAGTACATATAATTAACAACATACATAAAAATAAAAACAACCATATTCTATATCTGTGTCTGTAACAATCGTAAAAGTTAAATATGAATTAATGGAATAATTATTAATGTATTTACAAAACATCAAAAAGCTATTCTAGCATTTACTTATGTCTGCGAACGAGCGTCTTAGAAATTATAACTATTCATTGTCACATAATTCCTGTTGTAACATCGATGCGACCTACCTGCACTTTTGAAACAAATATGGTACATATTGTTAGAAACTAATATTTTTATTTTATATTGTGTATTTTCAAATAATTTCATAACACGATGTACATAACTAACTTACTCTAAATTTTCTCGCTAAGTGAATGTAATTCTTTGAGAAATAAAGTATCTTTGAACCGAATTAAACTTGAACCTATTGAATTTATTACAAAGAGTTATCTTAGGTATTTAGACAGCTAATTCTAGGATAGCGATAATATTAGGTCCTTACATATGAAATTGGCGTATTTCGTACTGGCCACTTTAATCACGTTGTTCTCCTCTTTGGTAAAGAATTCCAAATTCAAATTTGTACAGCTATTTACTCATGTATTTGTGCTTCGATGACCGTCATTCATTTGTTTTTTTCTTCTGTTTTTTTCTGTTTGCGTCACTCATTTTACAAAATGGAAAACTTAAAGTATCGCATTATTTACGAGTACGAGTTCCGCCGTGGCACTAGTGCTGCGAAGGGTGAATGATGTGTATGGCGGTCATGTTGCAAAAGAAAACACAGTTCGTTTTTGGTTCCAACGTTTTCGTTCTGGAAATTTTGACCTGCAGAACAAGCCCCGTGGACG